TTAATCACTTTGATATTTATGGGATTTCATATGTATAATCATAAGAATGTAGTAGTTTTATTTCATAAATTAGCAATACATTTTGTTTTACAGTGTCTTGATTTCTCATAAAGTCCACTAGCTTCCAATTGCTCTAATCTAATTTTTAAGGAAGTATTTTCCTCAGCAATCTTTTGGACTTCCTTTTCCATCTGGCCAATTTTGCTTTTTAGGGCATTCTTCTCATTGGCTTTTTTGGACCTCTTTTGCCATTTGGGTTAGGCTATTTTTTTTAATAGTTGAAAATTTTATTAGTAAGCAAATCACAGCAGCATTCCCCTGATTTAACCTGAAGCTTTGTGTCCTTTATATAGACAGGCAAAGTGAATGTGGAGAACATCAGACCTAGCAAGAGACTGGGGCCTCAGCTCTCTAGCCCAAGCCTGTGAGCAGCAAAATGGGTTAGGCTATTTTTTTAAGGTGTTATTTTCTTCAGTATTTTTTTGGGTCTCCTTTAGCAAGCTGTTGACTTGTTTTTCATGATTCTCTTGCATCACTCTCATTTCTCTTCCCAGTTTTTCCTCTACATCTCTTACTTGCTTCTCAAAATGCCTTTTGAGCTCTTCCAAAACCTAGGACTGGTTTAGATTTTTCTTGGAGGCTTTGACTTTGTTGCCTTCTGGTTGTATATTTTGATCTTCTTTGTCACCAAAGATAATATAGTCTGACTTTTTTTGTGCTGCTTGCTCACGATCCAGGCCAATTACTTGAGTTTTAAACTCTTTGTTAAGGTAAGAGTTTGCTTCCAATGTGGAGAATGTACTGTCCCAAACTTCGGGGGTTTGTGTAGCTGTTTTCAGAGATACTTGTAGGGACCTGTAAATTTTCAGTTCTTCCAAGGTGGTATGATAAGGGGTGAGGTGTTTACTCCTTTCCTGGCTTGTGCTCTGATCTATTAGTGACTGCAAGCACTCCTTTCTGTCCTGGAACTGTGAGGAGGGTTTCCTCTTTACAGCCACTACAAGCTCCACCAGGCCAGCGCTCCTCCTCACCCCAGGACTGCCGCCCAGAACTGTGACCCAGATCCAAGCAAGCGCAAAGCAAGAGATTCCTGCCTTAGTACTGGCAAAGAGGTCCCTGCAATCCCTCTCTGATCAGCCACTGGATTCCCCCTCAGTCTGTGGGCCGGAAGTTCAGGAGGCAGCTTCCTCACCAGGGCTGCGTTCTTGGGGAATTGGAGCTGAGACCCCGCGCTCCTCTGACAGCATCAAAGAAACAGACTTTTCCCACTGACCTTCTAAGTTGTCTTTGGCATTCATGGGTTGAGAAGTCTGGAAACTGCCACAGCTGCCCACTGTTCAGTCCTCTGAGGCCTGCTCCAGGTTCACTGTGGCCTGTGCACCCACACCACACTGCGCTCCGCTACCAGCCTGTCGCAATATACCTTTCTGATCAATCTTCTAGATTGTCTTGGGCTAGAAATTTGTTTTGCTCTGTCTTTTTGTGGGTTCTGCTGCTTTAGAATTTGTTTAGAGCCATTTTTTATAGGTATTTAGGGGGGCTTGGGGGAGAGCTCAAGCAAGTCATTGCTTTCACTCTGCCATCTTGACTCTGCCCCCACTTTAACTCTCATTTAGCAATACATTTTGGCATGCCATTTGTAATAATAACATTTTTCATTTTACTAGATATGTAGCATGCCCTGCTGTGGTTCAGATAATGGAATTGGAGAAGTAAGGGCAGTGTAAATCTGGTGACTACATCTTTTTGGTGCCTAAGCTCTTGTCTACCTGTCTTCATAAGAAAGAAAAGCAAAGAGCTGAGTTCTAAGTAGTCATATATGTATGCCTCTTTATCCTTTCTGTGTCTTAAAGAAATTCTACATTGTCTCTTTTTTTGGTGTGTGCATGGATAGCTGTTGCGCTAAATACTAATGACCCATTTTTGTTTGTTTTTCTTCTAACATGATTTCTAACCACTAACTCTCATTTAGCTATGGAGAGAAAGAAATGGATTGCCTTGACTATTTTTCATGGATTATATGCATGACATTGAGCATACTCCTTTTTATTCCTAACTTATAAATTGAGCACATCTCTGCTGGCATGGTTCTTAACTTTAGCAGCTGTCACTTTTACTTAATGTTAACCTAACAATAGGGTTAAATTCATATCGAAGTTTTGTATTAAAGTACTGATTTTGTTTTTTTCTACTAATTATTTTCACTTTGTCTTTCTTTGTAGAGAGCTATTGGGAAGTTTGCATCAGCCATTTTAGCCTTACCAAAGTCTGTCATTAAACTTCCCAAAACTATTCTTCAGTACTTAATCAGAGCTGCAAAGGTATTTTAATGTTTCACTGACATGTAGTAATACCCTCCTCTTTTTAGGAATTTAGTCAAACATACCCCATTGCCCTGTATCTGCATTTTCCCTTCTCTATAGATAATGAACTAATAATATTGAAAATTACTTATTGCCCTAACTTTCACAAAATGAGTATTCTCAAGTGATATAACTATCACGTGTTTTTATTGTTTCCATGCCAAAATTGGAAGCCATCAAGAAATAGAAAGAGAAAATGCAGATATCCATATTTTTCTAGCCTTTTAACAATACTGCATAAGCCACATCTGGCTTGTAGAAGGGTCACATCTGGCTGCAATGCATCAGTTATGAGGCATAGAAAGTATGGTTATCTTTCTCAGAAGCTGGTAAAACTCTGGAGTGTGCTACTAAAGCACCAATTTTGTCTAGACCTTATTTTCTGGCTCAGTAACCTTTTGATCTCAGTATTCATGACTCAGACTTCATTTCCCTTTACTCTTCTTGAATTTATCCCCCCTTCTCTAAAGGACTACAGGCTTGGTATAGTACTTCCAAGTCCCTAGGACCCATACATCATTTCAGTGAGACCTTTTTAAAGACAGCATCAAATATGTAACTGATCAATATATCCCAAGCACAAAGGTCAGCAAGGTCACTTGTATAGTCCCTTTGTAAACACTCATTCATATTTTGTCATTTAACAGCTGCTTTGAGAGCACGGTCTGACATAAGGCTCTTCCTCTCTCTGGGCTTCAGTTTCTCCATTTCTATAATGGAAGAATTAAACAATATTATCTCTAGGATTGAGATCTGGTTTGAATGTAAAATTCTCTATTACAGTTATGATATGATGCTGATTTGGTAGTTTTAATATTCAAAGTAGTTACTTCAACAGATGTTTTTTCATTTTCCCCTCACCTTATTTTATAAATACCTCATCTTACACTAATACTTAAGATTTTATCAGTAAGTAAAAGAGGGGATAATCAAACAATCAATATGTATTAAGTGCCTACTGTGTGACATGTACTGCTCCAGGTGCTGGAGATACAAATACAATGAATAAAACAGTTCCTATTCACAAAAAGTATGCATTCTAACAAGTCTTTTCTCACATCTTACATCTTCTTACCTAATTAAAGCAGGTACTGAATCTCAATCCAAAGCCCCCATTTTACTTAAATTGAAGGCTCCAGGGTGCACACTAGCAATTAGGTGTCCTACTTTACTAATTCCTTAAGTCTGAAGTATTATGGACTAGTTTACTTAAACTGAGAGAAACTTAAACTATTATTCACATTTTCTTATTTAAACCTTGCCCTTTAAATGCCAATTCACTCGTCATTAAAAAGAACAGTTTTAGAATAGAATAGTTTCTTGCCTCCTAGCTTTTGCATTTGGAACAAAAGCAAATATTACATTCATTCTCTGTCCCTGAGATTCACATTTCTAACACTGAGGGAAATAAAAAGGAAACATTTCTCCTTACTAAAACAGTCCTCACATTTACATTCCTGAAGTAACTAGGTTCCCCTTGTATACCTGAACCCACAATTCAAAATGTTTGCTTATGCTGTATTTCATAATAACAATAGCTATCATTTATATAATATTTTAAGATTTGCAAAGCATTTTGTGTATTTTACTTAATTTGATCCTTACAACAAAATTGTTTCATTAATTAGGCACCTCAAAAATAAGAAAAAATATTTATAGATCTAAAAGAACATCCACAAACCAAACTTTTTTTTTCTTCTATAATCCAGCTTCCCTGAGACCCAGGTGTATCCATGGGTGCATGAGGGCATGCTTGCTTGGCTTGTGATATTGGATATCTTTGGGAATTGGCTTTTCCTTCTGCATGGGTTTGTGGCACCCTTAGATACTGCTCAAGATGTGTTATATCTTAGTATCATCCATGTTATGATAAGTATTTTCAACTCTTAAATGAAAATTATAAAAGTCAACCGAAAGCACTGACTTGTGTTTAGACTGTCTTGCAATAACTTATTAACCTTGTCAGTTCACACCTACTTGGTGATGTTGGGAAAAAAGTGATTATATATGTTTGTGTATGTGTATGTGTGTACACACACACATGCATGATTGTATATAACACTACTGTTTTACTCTAACAAAGACATTTGTAAAGCTGTTGGTAAAATTCAACTATTGTCTACTGATGGGACTTATTACAGGTATATAAAACCAATGTTTCCAAAGTATATGAAAGCACCAGAGATACTTCATTTATCTTTGATACCTTGTCTTTTGTGGTGGAGAAAGAAAGAACAGAAAAGTGATTACTGGTCATACTTGTAGTTTTTTGTCTCATTGTAAAACAGAAGAGGCAGAAATAAGATTATGACAAATGGACCCCCTGGTGGTCAAGGAGCATGGGAGAAGTGGTAGCATGTACCCTAATTTCACTGCATGCATTTATGTGGGTTCTTGTGAAATTTGTTCCTCCTTCAGCTATTTTCATATTTGGTTTTATGCTAATGAAAATGGCACAGGCAAACTCAGCAGGCCTGGGTGGAGAAGGGGATATGTTGGTGTGTTTGGGATTGGAAACATGTGCTCATACCTGCAGATGTGAGTGTGTCCCTGTTGATATTCCTAGGTATGGAACACTTCACTGTTTACTCTAACAGTATTCAAAATCTGAAAAATGAATGATGTTGTTCCCTCTAGTTTGTTTATCAGGCCTGGATTACTGATCCCAAAACAGCCCTCCGACAGAGAAGAAAGGAGAAGAAAAGGTCTGCAAGAGAAGAACAAAAACGGAGGCGGAAAGGATCTGGGGAGGGTATGTTTGATTCTGTATGACCCTTGGAAATTAATACTTCTGTTTCTGCCTTCATAAAACATGAAGACAATCTGAAGAAGACACAAGATTGATGGAAATGAAATGGAATATAACCTCCACATAGACAGAAAGCCTATAGATTAAGATTACATAAATGTTGAGAGGAAGAGAGGAAAGAAGGAAGGACGGAAGGAAGGAAGGACAGAAGGAGGAAGGAAGGAAGGAAGGAAGGAAGGAAGGAAGGAAGGAAGGAAGGAAGGAAGGAAGGAAGGAAGGAAGGAAGGAAGGAAGGAAGGAAGGAAAAAATGGGAAAAGAGGGGAAGGGGAGGGGAAGGGAGGTGAGAGGAGAGGAAAAGAGAGGAAAGGAGAAAGGAAAGGAGAAAGGAAAGGAAAGGAGGAAAAATTCATGACGTATATATTATATGCCAGACATCACCCTAAACAGCTTTTAAATATTATCTCATTTGACCTTCAAAACAACCCTGTGAGGTAGTTGTTATTATAAATCTCATTTTACAGTTGAGGAACCTGAGGTAGGCAATGGTTAAATTCCTTGCCCAGGGTTACACAGCTTGCAAGTGTTTGAGGGCAGATTTGAACTCAAGTCTTCCTGACTGCATACTCAGAGCTCTTGCCACCATGCCACCGAGCAAAAACTTAAAGGAACCAATTAGTAGCTGGGCTGAAGTCAAAATCAGTTCTTCTTATCATCTCCTCTGTTGTTCTGCCTGGTATCGTTCCCAAGCCATGGTACAAATGGATCCTTGGTCATACTTTCCAATGTCATAATCAGACTTATTAAAGACTCAGCTTTTCATACCTCCATATTAAGTGCTATGCAAAAGTCATGACCAGACAAGACATGGTTTCTATTCTCTAGAAACTGATGCTTGTAAGTATAAAGATAGCACAGATAAAACAGACACTTCATGGAGCTGTAATTCCTAATATATGAGGGAGGGGTAGGTATTTACAAAAAAGAAGTTGCACTTTGATGACAAATATCATGATTAAAATTCAGGAAATAAGTTATGTCAAAGACTATCCGTGTTTTCAAATATGACATAAGCAGCCTTTCTTCAACAACCCATTATTTCACTCATAAGTATTTCTTGAATACCTTATACAAAACACTATGCTAGGATTGTGTGGAATACAAAAAGAATAAGGGGCAATTAAAGTGTGAATGGTTGTTTTTCTGGTGAAGGGGTAAGGAGAATTTGAATCTAAAAGGTCTTTCAGATTTCTTGGAATTGTTGATTCAGAGAATGCTCTGGATTTAATGTTGAAATCAACTTCAATGCAGTAGAATAGGATTTTGTTCAATTTGAAGTTTTAACTGCTCTTTACCTAATATCAATTTGGCAGGTCCTGTTGAATGGGAAGACCGAGAAGATGAACCATTAAAAAAGAAATCTGATGGTCCAGGTAAATCAACAATGATAAAAATAACATTAAATACAGGCTGTGGGGAATGTTATTTTCCATCATCATTATTGGTCTGGTTACATGATGACGTTGGCTTTTATATTGACTTTTGCTTCTGGAAGAATCACTGACTTATAGTCTTCCCTAGGATAGTCATCATTGCTGTAAATTATTATTGATTCCTAGAAGTAGACCTTAAATTGACCTTTATATTACTGGACCAAAAATATGGCTGATTGTGGCTCAGTTTTCTGAGGTGTATCAGAAAATAACCAAAGAAAGAAGATTCTGATGAAGCCACATTATGATACAAATCCTAAGTACATAGGCAGCTTGTAAAAAGGAACAGAGAAAAAAAGGAAGAATAGGTCACTATATGAGTGTAAAACTAGTACTATTATCCACTCAAGGGGAAAAAAATTACTTTTCATATTAAATAACTACCCATATCTGCTAAATTGTTATTCTCTTCTATATTTTCACTGTTGTAAAACCCTATGTGTAGTTATGGTCAATCCACAAAATTTTAATTTCTTTTCTCCTTTTTTGGCTGTTTTTGTTTTTGTTTTGTTAAGCAGTGGGGGCTAGTGACTTGCCAAGGTCACACAGTAAGTGCCAAGTGTCTGAGGCCAAATTTGAACTCAGATCCTCCTGACTCCAGGGTTGATTTTCTATTCACTGCGCCACCTAACTGCCTCTGTTTCTTTTTTTTTTTTAGACAAGATATGTACAAACTTTTAAGAATGACTGACATTTTCTGGCTCCAAATGAGACTGTCTGCCCTTAAAAAAAATTGTTTTTGGCACCACTCTGCATTGGCACTATGTACTATAATTGGATTGTGCTTTTTTATACAATGGCAATAATAAACTTCCAAATTACATTCATTTGTGATTGCTTTTAGAAATCATAATAACATTGAATCCATTACTTTATGTTACTTTATTAAACAAAATTGGATGTACCGCCAGTCACAATATGTCTCATAAAATGTAGCTTTAACACGTTAACAGATCTGTAATCTCATCATTGTGAGGACTCCTTCCACCAGAATAGATCCCAACCTCTCCTAATCTAATGTGATTCTTGTCTATATCTACTCTGGTCCACTCCTAGCTCAGGTTAGCCTAATGAATCAAGCTCAGGGTTCCAATGCAATGACATACTAGTGAATCCTTGCGCCCCCCCCACTAAAAAAAAAAAGGAAGAAAAGAAAAAGAAAAAAGAAACACAAAGGACTTTACTAAAAACAAAAAAAATAAAAAGGATAAAATGCCTAAGGTTAAAAAGAGTAATCCTGATAGAAAAGCATTCTATTCTGCTTTAGCAACTGACCATGCTAGGGGCAGCTAGGAAACGCAGTGGATAGAGGACTGGCCCTGGATTCAGGAGGACTCAAATCCTGCCTCAGACACATAACACTTATAGCTGTGTGACTCTGGGCAAGTCACTTAACCCCATTGCCTAGCCAGAAGAAAAAAAAAAAAGCAACTGACCATGCTAAATCAGAAGGATGTTCTGAAGGGCAGTTAGACTTCCAAACCTCCTACATCAGTTCCCCATGGGCTAGTCCTTTTATGCATGGTGCCAAAAAAGCAAATTAGTGATGATCCCACAAATTATGTCCTCACCCTCTTAAAGGGAAATAAGCCCCAGCCTTTATTTATAGAACTCATAGGGCTCTAGGAGTATTCCTAAAGAATGTTGTTGTTCAGTCATATCTTCATGACCCCATTTGGAGTTTTCTTGGCAAAGATACTGGAGTGATTTGCCATTTCCTTCTCCAGCTCATTTCACAGTTGAGGAAACTGAGGCAAACAGGGTTAAGTGACTTTCACAGGATCACATAGCTAGTTAGTGTCAGTGACTGGATTTGAACTCAGGTCCTCTTGACTACAGGACCAGCCTACTATCTACTGTACTATCTAGCTGCCCATTCACTCATAAAGAGCTAGAAGAAACCTAAGAGATCACTTAGTCCAATCCCTTCATTTTATAAACACAAGGAAACTCAGACCCAGAGTAGAGAAGTTACTTTCCCTTATATTTATATAACTAGTAAGTAGCAAAGTCAAGTGCTCTAAGTAACTCCTTCATGTTTTCTGCATTCTAGAAAAATTGAACTACTGTCTATCCCCCATTGTTGTCATGATATTTCCCATCTCTTGGTCCTTGTCCATACGTACTGCAGGCCTGATATGGTCTTTTTTCCCCTCCCTCTAATTTTTCAATATAAAATTTCCTTCTTTCAAGAGCCAGCTCAAGTATTAATCTCTCCTCTGCATTTCCCATGTTCTCCTTTGTATCAAGGTTATTTCTGTATATGCTCCACTCCACTCCAATCCACTAATTAATTTGAAAGCTCTTTGACAGCAGGTTCTGCATATCCCCAATACTTAATACAGGGTAATTAATAGAAACATTATAGATATTTATTAAATATCTTAAAACTACTGTATTTCATCCTCCTAGATAACATCATCAAAAGAATATTCAATATTTTAAAGTTTACCTGGGTCCTGTTTTTGGCATCAGTGGATAGTTTTACAACTTGGCTTAATTCAATTTCAAGGGAGCACATTGATATATCTACAGTGCTAAGAATTGAGCGATGCATGCTGACCAGAGAAATTAAAAAGGTAACACTATTGATACCATTCTCTTCTCCTCTTTTCACTCACAAAATTTGAAGACTTAGTTGAGTTTCTAAAGAGAGATATACTACCCTTTTGTCAAGAAAATTCAATACCATCCTACTTCCTTTTAGCATACAAGAAGCCATCTCACACTCAGAAATAGAATGAAAAATAGTCATAAGAGTTGTGGCTGGAACATATAGCTGCCCCAACTACAAGTTGGGATTTGATAAATTTTCCCTTGATTTCATGAATTGTGCCTGGAATGTATCATAGCAAATATGATATATTCATGTAGAGAAGCAAGTAATTAAAGCTGAGGACAGAAAAGGGTGGGTGTATGTAAGATGTATAGAAGGTACAGAACTGAATTCTGAGAAGCAACACGACCAAGAACTAGAGAAATCTTTCATTCTCGATTGGTTTCTGCTTTTCTTTAGGGCAATGTTCCAACTCGGGAGAGCATCCATATGTACTATCAGAACCACATTATGAATCTTTCTAGAGAGTCTGGACTGGACACAATTGATGAAAACCCTGGTGCTGCTTCAGGCTTAAAAACAGCCCGACGGATGGATAGCTTAGATTCTCATGACAGTATTTCCAGGTATTTCATTTTTTTAAAAGCAATAATTTTTCTCAATTTGTAAAGGCCATAAATCTCCACCAGAACATTTTGTGAGAAACTAATTGCATGAAGGGAGAATTAATTACAAATTTGTGAATGACTTTTCACTCTCCTATCCTTATGCAAATAATGAAAGTTGTTCTGTCATTTTCAGCAAGTATCTTAGTCAAATAATCAGAAATGTCTGTAAGAATTTCATGTAAATTATATTTCTCCTTTAAACTATTCTATTGATTTTTTTTCTATATCACTGTCTCTTCCCAGTGATTCACCCCCAAATAGGAGTCTTTCTTGTAGAAAATACAAGAAAACAAGTCAACACAATTGGCCTTGTCTGAAAACATATGCCAACATCCACATCTCTAGTCTTCTATCTCTACACAGAAGCAGGAGGCATATGTTATCAGCATTAATCCTCTGAAGTCACACTTAAATACCGCATTGTTCAGAGTCCTTTGTAGCTTTCAATGTTGTTTTCCTTTACATTACTGACATCTGTATTCATTTCCTAGAAGTAAATTAGAAGCATCAAGCTAAGAATTCCTGATTATGGCAAGGCCTGCCACTTGAACAATGACTGAACTTCCATTGCATCCATTTGAAATTAATACAGCATTTTTTTGTGATCCTCCTGCAGTTCCTTTCTTCTTAGAAGCATTACAATGATTCCTAATAACATATTAAAATTAACTTAACATTTGGATCCTATTTATGTCTGTTTCAAAGCAAGTCTGAAGAATTATCCAGATAATTGAGCCCCACCCCCAAAAAATTGTTTTTGAGAAAAAAGCTATTTCTTCTTAATTATCTGATGTGGCTGTTTTTGTTTTCCATAGCCATCATTTAATTTATTATCTGTATACAAACTTTCCATTTTCATATGCAAAACTTTTCTCAGCTAAGAATGTAGAAAAGATTTTTAGAAGATTTTTTCATTGTATTTATATATATTCAGGCACACGTGCACAAATCTGCAGATGTCTTCTTCCTGGAAAAGTTAAGCACTTTCTGAGGATCTTATGAAAAGAAACAGCTCAAATAATTTATAATTGAAAATAGAGGCATGTATGTTTACATCTGTATGCATATACATATGTACGCTAGTATGTGTATACAGATATACATGTGTATTTATGCACAATAATTTCACTCTGCATATATTTGTATGTGTATGCATATATGTATGTGTATGTGTAGATATGTGTGCGCACACACACACACACACACACACACAAGCAGAGCTAGAGAGTCTATGTCTAAAATCCTTTCCTGAAAATAAGTTAGGAGATGAGAGAAACAGGAGATTAGAATAACAAAAATAATAGATTATTTGACTATAAAATAATATGACCTGATTTGTAATGCACGTTCTAGAAAATGAGTGTCCCTTTCAAAGTAACAACTTTGGGAAGCTTCACATTTGTTTCAGCGATACTGCTACTTATTAAATTATTTTTAGAACTCCTCTTTTCTGTCTTCACAGCTAGTTGATGGTCTCATTACTTTGTAGTCAGTCCCCATTATTCAGTCCAAAAATAGTTTAATCACCTGTATTACATTTGGCTGTTTCTCGAAATCAAATCCACTTAGGAAAAAATGGTAATTATTGTAAGTATTCGAAACAAGGTTCTACAATGCTCTGAAAGGAACTCCAAAAAAGATCTAAAAATGTTTTGAGCAGAAGCATAATTATTATAATAAGCATAACTTCTCTAGATGAATACTTTTAAGTATATTGCTGTCACTGGAACATGTAAACTCTGGTGTGGCACTTTTGTCACAAAACCAGTAACATAACTTTGGAGTCTGAGAACCTACCTGAAGCAATAAATACACTATTGTCCTTGAAAGAGTTGCCTATTATCCCAAGTATCTCATATATTTCCAAGATTTATTTGGGCAACAGAGAGACCTGAGCCCATTTCCTCAAAACCAAACCCCAAAGCAATCGTTTTCATGTGAAATTGTGTTTTGAGCAAGACAAAACAAGAAATGCTAAGTGCCAGACAACTATTTGTAGTCATTGCTAGGAAAATCAAATGAGAAGCTATATGTAAAGCACTTAGCAAACTTTAAAGTGCTATATAATTGCAAATTATGTTATCATTATATTATTATATTATCATTTCTGCATTGTCAGTTGAAATTTGTATGGCCATGTCTATTCTGCTACTTAATAATTATGTATTGTTGGGGTTTTTGTCTGGTGCTGATATATGCTTTAAAACCCCTTTACAGTCAACACAATAGAATGGTGATTTGGCAGGGTTTGGTTTGTTCTGTTGTTTCCCATGTGTCTCCAAATTTGGGAATAAGGTGTAACTGCTTTGAGAAAAAAATTCACTATTCTTCTCATTTTCCTTCAGCTCATTAAGAAATCTAGGAGATAAATCCTTCACAGTGACTGTATCAGAGCAGTTGTATATTTATTAAAGTTATGAGTTGGGATGTTTTGAAATACAAGATTAAACTATTCTCCTGATAGAAAGTAATAACAAAAGAGTATAAATTACTAAATGAAAAAGTCTCTTCTCATCTCCCTTTACTTCAACACATAAATACACTTTCCATAAAATATATTTTTGAAATCATTTTTATAATTAAAATCTGAAAAAAGACTGGCTATAATGGTGAAAATGGAGCAATATTCATTGGGTACATATATGTGTAGATAGATTCATAGATAGATTGATAGATTGATAGAAATAAAGATACAAATCTAGTAAACATGTTAGTATTTTTGTGTCTAAGCATATCATATCATTAACTTTTTTTGATGATCTTTTTGCTGCTTTTTTTGACAGGCTTAGAGCAAGAAAAAAATCTTTTAAAAAATTTCATAATTACTCTAGCTGGGCTCTACAGTTTTTGCTCATTAAGACCATCTCCCTAAATCATGTTTGGTTAAACAATTTTTCTAATTCTATCCAATCTCCTTTGTATTTCAGATGTTCTTTGTTGATGATTGCCTTTAAATTACAGGGGATTATCCTCGAGAAAGAGAGGATTTGGGGAGAAATGGTATTGCTGGTGGGTTAACAACCCAAAATTTTGTCACTAAATGTATCTTGGGATAAGGGATAATTGGAAGATGTAAGAAGCATCGATTCTACTGTGTACACCCAGCCCTCACCACACATTTCAGGAGGAAGCTGGCATGGAAAGATGTGCTGACATTCCAGGCATGCCAGGGAAATGATTATGACTGAAGATAGCATTGTCATTCTTCCAACATTTCAAATTCAAAAAGCCATTCTCATCTATTCTCTTTTTGACTAAGAACAAATTCATTTTCAAATTGATCCCTTTCCCCCATATATCAAGATTTTTTTTCTCCACATCTCTACTTGTAATGAATTTGTTAGCTAGTGCTTACTGATTTTCTTTTAGTTTATCATGTGTTTTAATGGAGATATATTTGTATAAATGCTAATTACATATTTCTAAATAGTGTTTTCTTTCTCTGCAGACCTGCCCTATGGCCTTGTTTCTCTATCAAGGCAACATTCCATAAAATTGCATATTGGGCAAGAGAATGAGTAGACAGAATAGCACAAAATAAAGCAGGCTAAAATGATGGTGGTAATAATGATGATAGATTATGCTTTTATAACACTCTATAAAAATCTTTCCTCACAGCAATCCTGTAAGTAGTATACACATTCTCATTTTTACAAATAAGGAAATTAGGGCTCAGAAAATTAAAATGACTTGCCCAAGGTAATAAAATTCGGAAGCAACATCAAACAAATCCATGTCTGCTAATTCCAAATGCAACACTCTTTCCAATTTGCTGCCAATGGAATAAAGATCAAAAGAAATTCTATCTAAAACACAGGTTCTTAATGTGGTAAATGTTAACTTTTTTTTTTAATTTTAGTAACTGTATTTCGGTATAATTGGTTTCCTTTGGTATCTAATGTACCTTATTTTTTATACTTAAAACATTCTAAGGAGTCCTTAGGCTTCATGAGACTGCTCTCAGAGAAGCAACATGGTATAGTAGAAAGAGTATCAGACAAGGCCTATGTTCCATTCTTACCTCTGGCACTTACCAGCTATGTGGCTGTGGACAAACAATTTTGACTTCTTTGAATATTTCTCATCTATCAAATGTGCATAATAATATCTATATTGCTTACCTTTCATGAATGTTGCAAGGATAAAATGAAATAATGTACAATAAAGATGCTCAAAAACTTTAAAATTCTACATAAATTTCAAAATTATTGTTATTATTATTATTTCCTATGCAAATGTTGGAGACTGGCTAATAATAAGCTTTTTTTCTTATTTCACATATAAGAATTCAAGAATTTGGGAAAATATTTGAAATAAAGTCAACACTTAAGTTATTAGTTTTTTTTATTCCGTTCTAGTAGCTAAACACATTTTAGAAGTGTCAAATGTTGCAGATTAGGGGATAATATTTAAAATCAGTGGTTGCTCTTTTAGTAGAGAATTTCAAAATGAAAACAAAGAAAAGAGCCCTATAAAATATACAATAAATGTGCTGGAGTTCAGTAAGTTTGAAAAAAAGAATTTAATAAGTTCTCTTATTACCTACTTGATGTATTTTACTGATCTTTTCATGAGTTTTGACACTAATTATAATTCAGTGTAAGCAATGACCTCATATGGAGGACATGCCAGGAGAGATTGAACATGCCGACATATTGGCAAGTGAAATCGTCAACACAGGAACTCATAGTAGAGTCATGTTTCTATTAGTTTGCTTCCAAGAGTACCTCAGTCTGAAACACAGTGATTTGCCATGATTTGCCTACCTTAGGACCATTGAGAAATCTTTGGAGAAAACTATCTTGGAAAATCATTAACATTGATGTACATCCAGCTTGACTGTGATGTATTTACAGAGACTTTTATTCTGGCTTTCCCAATGGTGACACTCCATCTTTGATTTCTCGTTTGTAGTCTCTAATACTTCTCCCCACCCCAACCCCCACTTGACTAGCATCTATGAGTTTTATTATTGGGATATAGGATAGAGCATACTTGAGGGAAGTAAAAAGTTTAGTAATTTGTATATAAACGATTTCACTCTAATCTAAGTATGGGAGCTCACATTTGTATAATACTTTATCTTTTATAAACCACACAATAACCCCATAAGGTAATAAATGCCAATATTATGCCCATATTAGAAATAAGAAGAGTGAGAGTCAATAAAGTTAAGTCATTTCCCCATATTCACACACATGTTAAGTAGCAAAGCTCAATTCTGAACCCACATCTCCTACCTTTTAAGTACAGCCCTATATACTCAGCTGCATGACTCAGTGGATAGATTGCTGGGCCTGAAGTCAGGAAGACTCATCTTTCAGAGTTCAAATGCAGCCTCTGACACTTACTAGCTGTATGATCCTGGCTAAATCACTTCCTCCTCTTTGCCTCAGTTTCCTTTTCTGTAAAATGGCCTGGAGAAGGAAATGGCAAACCGCTCCAGTATCTTTGCCAAGAAAACCCCTAATGTAGTCACAGAGTCAGACATGACTGAACAATGACAACATACACAACATTCTATCATCTTAGAAATTTTAGAGTACACAATTAATTTCACTGAAAAATTAAGCCAAAATCAAAAGAACTCAAGGTGTTTTGCAATAATTTTTACAGTCACTTTTGCAGTATTTTACTTTATTACATCAATAGCAGTCATGGGTAAAATGACATTCTTTTCTTCAACTTGAAATACTAGAGACTCTTAGTGACACTTGTCACCTTCTGTGACATTAATTCTCCACCTATTCACAGCTGAGCAAGAGCTCTTTCAGTATTCTTGAGGTAAAACTAAACTGAATTATCACAAAGAATACAACTTTCTGACTGGATCTAGCAATTTATATATAGTGAAGCTTAGAGTATAGCTATTCCGTAATGCTCCCTTTCTAATGTTTGGCCCAACACTTCCTAAAGCCACCAATGACCCTAAGCTATGTGGTGAAAGGTGTCTTTATTTATATGATTTTGAGAATCCCTTCAATTATTTCATAGGCAGACTTTTAGGCCTGCTTTTTTCTTCCATCACTGTTTCTGAGCTGGGAACTAAGCTTGAGTATAGTTCTTATCCATATTCCAGATTTGTGAGTTGCGTGATAATGGCCCAACTGGAATTATCCTATATATAGTACAACATAATCTGGCTAATTCAAGGAATAATTTCTATGAGTGAGCATCACTGTTCATGTGAGCACTCAGGAAGGCTTCTAATAATAGATCTTAGCTTTAAAACTCTTTTGGGTTACAAGTTTTACTGTACCTGTTTTATACACCATAGTGTATATTACACAAGGTTTACAAATATTAAGGTCATCACTGTTCAGAAACTCCTTTTCACAGCAGTGCTAGGCCTGTACGTTCAAGCTGAAAATCTTATAATTTGAGTCCCTTAACATTCCAAAAACTAAATGAAGATAAGGGATAAGCATCCTAGGAGCTTGTGAAATAACATTGCTGTGTTTATTATATTCCTTGCTTCCCTGCTCCTTTCTTTTAAGACATCTTCATTGAAATAATGTCTTTCTCATAACTCTTATTTGCTTTCTGTCAATCCAGTAGCATCCGCTTCCTGGATTTGACCTGCCCTCCCGCTCATTGTTCCGCTCATGAAAGGAGATAAGGGTTTTAACAAATAGATTCTTTAATGGCATGTGTTACAAACCTCTAGAAAGGATGCAACGAGCAATCAGAGGGGAAAAAAATTAAGTAAAACGGTTCCTGGTGCTGCTGCATTTCTCTCTCTCTCTAGAATATTTTCTCAATTTCTGATTTATAGACTGTTTATCACAGTAGCATCTATGACAACACAGTACAGCACACCAAACTGAAAATAGCTTGAAAATCCATTTTTGTTTCTGATCACCTATAAATATCTCTCAAAAATGAATACCTTTTAGAAGCCACAATTTTTAAAATACCACCAGATTCTAATATATAAATTCTCAAATGAGTATATTACTGCAGTGAGCAAATGTTACAGCATTTTCAGTGGTTTAGTTTAAGACAAACTTGTTTAGTTAAAAAACAATCTCTGTCTAAAGTTAAAGTTATGCAATTTCCAATGTATGTGACTTCGCAAATCATTTCATTTTCTTCTTCCAATCAGGGACATAGCCTGTCCCAGAAATAATGAATTCATTCATTTACTAATTCAACAACATTCTCTAATTCATATCCCAAGTATAATGAATATATTCAAATAATCCATTCATTAATTTAATTTATTTAGTGCAATAAATGCACAGTGCTTAAAAAATAATGATAAAAGTAGCCCAGGAACCATCTCTTTCCTGATAACTCCAAAGGGGTCCTTATCTTCTCTCTGAATCTTTGTTGTTATTGTCATCATCGTGGTGGTGGTCATGTGTTTTGCTGCATGGCAAGTACATCCATTAATTGATTCATGTGTACATTCATTTATCGTCGGTGTTTAACACTGTGTCTTTGTAACTGTTTGCGCTGCTAGCTGCTACACTGAAGCAACCTTGCTGTTCTCAAGGCAGTCTACCCTTGATGATTTAGATGGACGAGAAACTATTCCTAAAACAAGTGAGCGGGCTCGACCTAGGCTTCGTAAAATGTACAGCATGGATATGTCCTCTTCATCAGCTGACAGTGGCAGTTTAGCATCAAGGTGCTTAACTTGTGCATGCTTCCTTGAGTCATTTTACAACCCTCCTCCTCACCTTTCCTTGTTTAGGTCTTTGCTCTCATGTGTGGTTGTTTTATTTTGTTTTGTTTTAAACTGCATGTTTAACAAAAGCATAGGTACCATCTTTTCTGGGGCTAACATTAGTAGTTCTCAAGATCATAATTTGTGAAAAGAATCATTTCTTTGATTTTGTCTGGAATTAGTTTCTTTCAAATCCTTATTTTAAAGATTGTCTTTTATTTCTGACTAATTCAACTTTTCCTTCCTCTTAAGAAAGGTTGACTGTGAAAGACGCAGTTTCTCTCACTGATTTAGAGGCTTGTTTGGGCTACAAAAGGAAGGGGAAAAGCATCAGGAAAGAGGGTGAACATTTTGTGATTTGCTCATTCAGTTAGATAGACATTAAGATCCATTCTGGAAAGTTGCCATATTTGGTCAAGTTTTAATGGGTCAGGAATAAACCTGTCTATATTCATATACTTGAGTAATATGAAAGTCAAAATGTGTTTTATCCTTGCTTTAAAAATAGAACATTGTAACCTGAGAATAGATTGACTTCAGTTTCGCATGTTCTTGAACCAGGCTACTTGATGCTAGCTTATTTGGTGATCCGGTCTTGCTGTTTTCTCCCTAATATTGCTATAAAGTAACTTAGATTTGCAGTCTTTTTCATGCAAGTTAAAGAAATTGATTACCTTTCAAAATTTAGTAGAAGCTAGTAGTATGAGATGGAATCTAAATATCTAAATTTTAAAATGACCCAAAACAAAAAGGAAAAATGACTTTATTAAGCATGGTGTTGTCAGATCCTTGTTTTTTTGTTTTTGTTTTGTTTTGTTTTTTTTCACAAAGGAGATGTATAGTATGGAAATCATTCCATAACATGTTGGCACTTACCAGGCATTTAATAGTCAAGCTTCGGCCTAACAGAGAAGGATCGAGCCATCATCTATATTGTCATTTTGACTTGGGATCTTTAGGTATTCCTTACTTCCTCATAACACAAGTCCAAGGACATTAGGGTTGTAGTCACAGACTACAAGACCACTGAAAGTTTGATCAGGTCCTGGATTAGCTCCTGTGATCTGAACTTAAAGGATAAATCCATTTCCAACCCTTCCTAGGAATTCTAGTCCAGCCTAAGGTAAGTCCATGAGAGATTCCAATTGGCATGTCCTCCTAGGTATGTTGTGCCAGCTAGGTGGTGCAGTGGATAGAGCACTGGGCTTGGAATTAGGAAGAGTCATCTTCACGAGCTCAGATTCAGCCTCAGACACTTACTACCTGTGTGACCCTGGAGAAGTCATTTAACCCTGTTTGCCTCAATTTCCTCATCTGTAAAATGAGCTGGAGAAAAAAAAAATGGCAAACCACTCCAGTATCTCTTACAAGAAAACCCTAAATGGGGTCATGGAGAGTTGAACACAGCTGAAAAATGACTTAATAACAATAACCTAGAGACTTCCCATATCACAGAGACCAGGACCAGAACCCGCAAGGATGTTGAAATCCTGATTGCATCTCCTGATCTCACCCAGGTCTTTATCATTTTTTTTAAATTGAGAGACAGGCTGGGGTGACCTCAGAAGGTCCTATGATAAAACCAGGCTCTAAGTATACAAGTCAGACTACCAGATGCATTTAGTTGTCTAATAATTTTCATTTTAGCATTCCTCAGAACAAATTCCCAGCACATTTTTCTCTCCCTTCTTTGAAAGAATAGAGGAAGAAGTGGAACACTAAGGAAGTATACCATTTACTGCAGGATTATAACTTACATTTGTTTTAGTATGTGAATCTATATCTATAGCTAGCCTGCCTTGGGCCTGGAAGGAAAGTTCAAGAAAAAGACAAAAGAAAATAATAATAACTACCATTTATGTAGTGCTTCAAGGTTTCCAAAGCACTTTCCAAATATCTCATTTGAACATCACAACAACTCTGGTAGTCAAGTACTTTTATTATCTCCATTTTACAGAGGAGGAAATTGAGGCAGGCAGAGGTTAAGTGACTTGCCCAGAGTCACAGAGGTAGTATCTGAGGCCAGAATGAATTCAGGTCTTCCTGACTCCAGGCTTAGCACTCTATGCATTCACTGTGCCTCCAGCTCCTTAGGCAGGGTATGAAGACATGAACAAAAAGAAATGTAAAGTAGAGATGGGAACTAGAATAGAAGAGAAGTAGAAAAGAGCCACAGAAAAGGAAGCCTAGGAGCAAACATCTAAAATAGAGTGAGTCAGGCAAGGAAAGAAGGAAGGAAATGAATGATATAGGTCAGGAGTGGGAAACCTGCGACCTTGAGAACACATGTAGTCTTCTAGGTCCTTGGGTGCTGCCTTTTGACTGAGTCCAAGTTTTACAGGACAAATCCTTTTATTAAGGGGATTTGTTCTGTGAAGTTTGGATTCAGTCAAAGGGCCACACTTCAGGACCTAGAGGGCCACAACCCCTGACAAAAGTGTTCATGAAGGAGAGGATAGAGAAGAGAGTCAAGCTGAATAGTAAATGGCAAGTCAGAAGGAAATGCAGTTTTACAAGGCACAGAAACCAAACTGAGGAATCAGTGCTGTTTTAGGAAAGAAATTAACAAGGTAGAGTGCGTATAGGCAAGGACAACCAATGTGGTATAGGAACTAAAATCAGGTTATGCAAGAGAAAACAGTGAACATATGGCAGCTAACTTCAAGTACTTGAAAGACCTCCATGGAGAAGAGAAATTGGGCTTCTTCTATGTGAACCCTGAGGACAAGACAAGGAGAAATAGGTGGAGATGACAGAAAAGCTGTGACAAATTTCAACTCAAGGAGAAAAATCTTCCCACTATATAGAACTGTGTCCAAAAAAGAAGAGTCTTTCCCAGGTAATAAAGTATTTCCTATCGCTAGAGATCTTCAAATGGAGTCTGAGTGACTGCTTGGGAGAGATTCTGTTGAAATGGATATTCAAGGTCCTTTCTCCCACTCTGGTAATTCTATAATTCTATGGATTGGCAGAAGTGTAAAAATAGACATCAAATCCAGGTGAAGATATACACACACACACACACACACATATATATATATATATATATATATATATATATATATATATATATATATATATATCTCACATCATATATGTAATATAATATTATGTAATGTATATAAAGTGAAATATGTATGCATACACACACACACACACATACACGTAAAGAAACTGAGAAGCAGAATAAAGAAGTCAAGGAATTTTAGAGTAGTTTGATGATAAGAAAAGTATACACACAATCATTTATTTTAGTCTGGATTATGGTATGCCTTCATGATAATTTCCATATGGACCTATATAGGATCATTATATAAGACATATATCAGAGTATAATTCAGTCAAAAGCTTCTAATTAGGACTGGCAAAGTCTCTGCTTTCTGTAAGCTGTGTATTTTGAAATAAATATATGGGTCAATATTATGCCTTGATCTGGAAGTCAATAATCCTTTCTATGCATCATAGGATACTTCAAATGCTTCATTAATGAAGTGATGCTCATTTTGCATGAACTACACTAGCTTATTAACTTTTGCATTTGGGAGACAGAACTGCTGTGTGCATTTTCTACCATACAGGGCTTATGAGGACATAATGAAGGATTAAAATAAATAGGGTAATACATATTTAGGAAAGTGCCTTGCCATTTTTAAAGGGCATTTTAGTATCTTCTCTTCAAATCAATGGAATTTTGTGAGCAATCACCATGTTAATCCAAAGTAATTTTTGCATCCTCTCTTTTTTCTAACAGCGAGCCCACCCAGTGTACCCTGCTATATTCTCGCCAGGGGACAACTGAAACTATTGAGGAAGTAGAAGCAGAACAAGAAGAAGAAGTAGTGGGCCCCCTGCCTGAGCTAAAAGATGAAGATGATGAGTATGATGAGGACTCAGTGGAGGTGGATCTCACCTCAGATGCTGAGTTGCCACAGTATTCCACTATGGATACCGTGGATACAATCGATACTGTGGATGGTGATGTAGAAGCCCCACCTTCCTATAGCAAAGCAGTGAGCTTCGAGCGCCTCTCCTTTGGCTCCCACGATGACTCTGATGACAAGAACCATATGGTAGTGAGTCCAGATGACAGCCGGACAGATAAGTCGGAGATAAGCATTCCGCTCCCTTTGACACATGAGCTGACAGCCAGTGAGCTACTTTTAAACAAGTAAGAACTCAGAAAACATATAAAACACCATTTTTGAAACTTTCCAACAAGTTCACTCTCTAACTTGGCTTCTTCACCACCACCACAGGGGAAATCCTAAGAGTTAGATATAGGAACAATTTCCCAAGCCCTGCTTCTCTGGATAGAGAATGGGAAATGCCAGTGCTATGATTTTGCCTTTCAGAGTATTTTTACTTGAAAACTATCCAGTTTGTCCTGGCCATGTATGCAGCAGTTATTCAAGAAATATGCCATAATAAAAGTAATTGATTTCTGTCCAAGTCCAGCTTTATTTTGAGCAGGTTGCCTCATAGGACTTAGAGTACTTTATTAGAAAACCATTGTAATATAACATGATCTTGGACTAGTACTCAAAACAAGGTGATTTTTGGATTGAGCCTGAAATGGTTTCTACTCAAGTCTGATATCTGAAAGAAAAGTTAGTAACTTAGTCTATCTTCTATCATTTGGACAAAACACCCAGATGATTAATTGAGTTTTGGGGAGATTTTTGTTTGTTTTGGGTTTTTTTTTGTTTGTTTGTTTACTTTTCATCTGAATGCATTGTATTATGTAGATACAACCTTAGAATTCCACTCACTCACTCCAATAGGAGGCTTTGGAAGTCTGTGCCTAATTTCTTTTTCTTAAGCATTATTATAAGGTAAAGGATAAAATTCTCTTCAGAATTATTATTCTATCATCCTGAAGAAAAACATTTTGGGAAAACTTGGCTTTTATGCTGATTTCAGATGGCTTTTCTTAGCCTTGTTGAATATGAGATAGGTAGGAAAAATATCACTCATAAAGTTCCTGAATTTCTCCTACTGCAGCCCTATAAATTATTCTAATTAGGAACACCAAATTATGTTCTCACAACTGTAGGGACAGATTTTTTCCCCCAGAATCCATGATTTTATTTATTTGCCAATTTTATTTCCTTTATTTCCTAACTCTTTCTACCAATGTGAATCTAAAACTGTTCTGCAATTTGTGGTCTTAGGGCGATAATTATTTGACAGACAATATGTGTCAGAGACAAGTCATAAACCCTAGTCTTCTTGACTCTAAGATTTCCTCTCAGTCCAATAAGGTGCACTGCCAAATGCATCTTTTCAACTGGATCTCAATCAACAAATATTAATCAATACCTACTATTACCCAAATGCTGTATAGGCATTGGGGAGACAAAAAAATAAGGCAATCCTTTCCTTCAAAAAGTTAATATTCTACTGGGGGGGGGGATACACACAAGTAAGTACAGGATATAAACAAAACAAATTAGAATTAATAGGGTGAAGCAGAACCAAGAACATAAGGTATGAAGAAAAGCACGTTGAAGAAGGTAGTAGATGAGCTGAGTGTTAGAAGAAAGAAGGAAGAAAGGGAAGGAAAAAAGAAAACAGGAAAAACAAGAATTCAGAATAAACAAGCAAATGAAATTGAATCTTTTGTGAATTCATTATTTTGACCTTTCTGCTTTCACAGATTTGCTGAAATATTGAATTCCAAGAAGATTTATAGCTAACTGCCCACCACAAATTAGAAACATTTGAAAGAAGATAAACATTTTAACATAAAAATCCTTTTTTTCCTATAACCTGTGGGGTTGTTTCCTTTACAGGATGTTTCGTGATGAAGAGCTAGAAGAGTCAGAAAAATTTTACGTTGACCAACCTCGATTCTTGCTCCTGTTTTATGCTCTCTACAACACTTTAGTGGCACGTTCAGAAATGGTGTGTTATTTTGTGATTATCCTCAATCACATGATCTCGGCTTCCATGATTACCCTTGTACTTCCTATCCTCATCTTCCTCTGGGCCATGCTGTCAGTCCCTAGGCCCAGTAGGCGTTTTTGGATGACAGCCATTGTCTATACAGAGGTATGTAAATTCATCACGTGGTACCTATATACTACTAACAACTCAATTTTGTCTTATGTGTTAGTAAGTTCCTGAAAAGTTGTGTATAAAACAAATATGCATGCAGATGTTCTTCAGGATACAGAACAGATGTATTACAATAAAACTAAGGAAAAAAAACAAAATTCCAAACATCCATAGACATTCATCGATCATTAGGGCTGGAAAGGGCCTTAGAAATCATCTGGTCCAACTCTCTAATTTTATAGATGAGAAAACTTTGACCTAGGAAAGTTAAGTGATTTGGCCAAGATCTCATAATTCACAAGTAACAACACCGGTGCTACAACTGCAAACTCATGATTCTCAATCCAGTGCTCTTTCTACTATACTTTGCTGGCTTCCAGTTAAAAATCTGAGGTAGTAGGATTTTCCCTGGAGACCTTAACTCAGTGTTTGATTCTGGCCCTACAATAGGTCTGGTGAGCTGACTAGTCTGACTAAAAATATAGATAGACAGACAGATAGATAGATAGATAGATAGATAGATAAATAGATAGATAGATAGGTAGGTAGATGTCAATGCTCCCTGGGAACCAACTTGAAATTCCTTTTCCAACAGATTCTAGACAAGTGGTCCAAGGACCCTTGGCGGTCACCAAGACCCTTTCAGGGTATCTGCAAAACCAAATCTATTTTCATAATCATTGTCTTCATTTCTAATATGATAAGTATCAAAATATATAACACACATAAATAAAAGTTCTTTGGAGGGTCCTCGATAATTTCTAGAAGTGTAAAGGGGACTTGAAACTAAGAAGTTCGAGAACCACTCTTCTAGACTGATCAACAGGGGTGAAACCTAAGGATAACAAGCTGAGGTGGTTTTCCTGCCTCAGTACCAAGAAAAGTAGTTTCACCCACAGAACTAATCAATTTGGGACTAAACTTGTCTGAAGATTAAGATTTTTTTCAAACCTAAATTACAGAAAACATAGATTCAGTTACTTCTCTAATTCTTCAGTTCTATGACTAGAAATTCTACTATTCACATTTCACTACAGTGAAAATACCCATACTGGAAATCAGTTCATTTTTTGTTAGCATGATGGACATGCAAATGCACTTGGAGAGAAGAAATCTAAGTTCAAGTCCCAGATTTGACATTTGCTAACTATGAGTCAGGGGCAGGTAACTTCACCTCTTGGAGCTATATAAAGGGAAGCGCTAAACACAGTTCCATCCATTATACAGAAAGCAAAGAGACATGCTTTTTACCAAAGTAAAACAGACCAAATCTTTCAGGCCTGATCAAATTTAACAGATATTCAAAGTCTCAGATTCCCATGAAAACTAAGTGAAAAGGGATAGAAAGAAGACACTATGGCATTTGCAATTTCTTTTAATTCTTTTGTCTGATTTTCACTGAATCTTTCCTGATTCTTTAGGTTCTGAAGAGATGAACCAATACTAATTTTTATGGTGGGCATAGTAATAAATAAGAAAATAGGGGGTCTTGAAACCAAAAGGTTTAAAGTACATTAATGGTCTTTCTTTGCTACTTAAATGATAATTTTTATGCCCAAGATAGGACTAGAGCTTTTGTATGTGCTATCCCTCATGCTTGAAAGACTCTCCCAACATTTCCCTGTATGGGGATCCCTCCAGCACCGCAAGTGCTATCTCCTTATTGTATTACTGTATTTGTATTACAGTTATTTTTGTAAATGCCTCTTCCCCTTATTAAATTATGAGCTCCTTGAGTGGACAGACTCATCTTTGTGACCCCAGGATCTAGTATTGGGCCTTGCATGTGGCAGCTACTTCATCAATATTTGCTGAATTGATCTAAACTGGTGCTTGAGAAAGCTTTTGTTTTGTTTTGTTTTGTTTTGAAGTTAAAACAGTTTTCTTAATATTGTTCAATTGAAGGTAATAAGCTGTCCCATATATTTGAGATTTGAGGAGTTCTAGGGGTGGAGAGCCTGTGATCTTGAGGCCATATTTGGCCCTCTAGGTCCTCAAATTTAGGTCCTCAGCCCTTTGACTGAATCTAAACTTCACAGAACAAATCCTTTTATTAAGGGGGTTTGGGTTTGTTCTTTGAAGTTTAGATTCAGTTAAAGGGCCACACTTAAGGACCTAGAGGGCCACATGTGGCCTTGAGGCTGAAGGTTCCCACCCCTGAAATACACAAGGCTTAATATAAAAGAGTGAATGCTTAGTCATCCACAGGCAGGGTGGATAAGTTCAATTTTCAGTTTGTCCCCAAAGCTAATTGTAAATTAATTTCAGCTTTCTCTTCTTCTAGATCTTTTATAACTGGAGAGGCAAAGCTTTTGTTTCGTGCATTTTTGAGTCGCTAAAGATAACTTGAGGAAGGAGAACATAGCAAAAGTAAAGCTTTAGCAAACTATAAGCCCCTGAATCTGCACACAAGTGATAGTAAATGATCTGAAATAGGAGATATAATAAAACCACAAAAATAAATGTCCCTAGGCTCTCAAAACTAGATAATTACTGCTATGGAACATTCAATCATTGTGGCGTTGTGGCAGTGCCAGTTTGAGTGGTATAAATGGATCTGAGGAAGGAAGGAAGGAAGGAAGGAAGTAAAGAAAGAAGGAAGGAAGGAAGAAAGGAAGAAAGGAAGGAAGGGAGGAAGGAAGGGAGGGAGGAAGGAAGGAAGGGAGGAAGGAAGGGAGGAAGAAAACACAGAGATAAAAATGAATAATTGAAAGTGGCAGGCATAGTATGATTCTGTGACCAACCTACCATATTCATTCTTTAGGGAACCCTTTGTTTGAACAAAACATTATTCTTGCTATTAAATTGATTTGGGGTCATGGGGAGAGACTTACGACTTCATCTGGTTTACAGAGCTGTTGACATGAAAATTTTGCAGTGATTCACATTAACAACACCTTTGTAATTTACAATCTTAATAAACTACTGAGAGATTAGGTGAATTGCCCAACGTCACAAAGCTGTTGTGTGTAAGAGGCAAAACTTGAATCTAGGTGTTCCTGAAGCCAAGGCTAGCCTAAGAGCCACTATGTCACACCACCCTTAAATGAATAGCAAAAAATGGTAATGTTTTTATCTTGTACCATACTATTAACTACTACAATCAAAACTATAAGAGAATCATTTCCATTGTAATTATTATTCTGCCATATAACCAATGAAGTTTCAAGAATATACCTTTCACTTGTATTTTTATCATTTCCACATAGGTGGCCATTGTCATCAAATATTTCTTCCAATTTGGCTTCTTTCCCTGGAACAAGAATCTGGATTTCTACAAAGACAAGCCATACCATCCGCCAAACATCATTGGAGTGGAGAAAAAAGAGGGTTATGTGCTTTATGATCTTATTCAGCTCCTAGCTCTTTTCTTCCACCGATCAATTTTAAAGGTATGACAAGCAACAAATCAACAAATCCTTCCAGAAGGATGGATATATTCCCATTATTACCAGATGGAGGAAATAGGAGAGGCATAAAAGACATAGGGTCTGCCCCTGGGAAGTTTATAAGGAGAAAGAATAACTACAAAATTGAAGAAAATTAAAGAATACAAGGCAGTATATAATCAAGAGTCTGATTGTGAGAAATAGAATTATAAATGCAAATGAAATTCACAGGAAGGATAGCTCATTGTGGGCTAGAGAAATCCAAGGAAGTTTCATGGAAGAGTAACTTAAGCTGAGTAATGAAAAATGAGTGAGGCTTACATAAGCAAAGACAAGTGGAAAGGGGACTGATGCCAGGAAAACAGCTCAGGCAAAGGGCAATGGAAACAAGAATGAGCATGACATGTACAGACTCTGCACTTGGGCATGTTCTAAATTGTATCATATTCATTTGTGTTATGTCTCCTTTTTTGAAATGTTTTTGGAATATGGGGTACAGGAAGGAGACTTCCTTGCATGGAACAAGGGAGTCGTGTTGGAAAGCAGTAGAAGATGTGTGGGATGTGGTGAGATTATAACGGACTTTAATTGACAAGAAGAAAATTTTAGATTAGGTGCTATAGACAATTGAGAGCCACCACAGGTTCTTTAGCAGGAAAACAATATGATGAAAGTAGCGTTCTAGGAAAATTAATCTAGCAGGCAATGTGGCATAGTAGTTAGAGGGACACCTTAGAGTCAAGTCCCTTCTGATACTTTCTGGCTGTGTGACCCTAGAAAAGTTGCTTCACTCCTCAGTGTTCAAGGAAACTCTCTAAGACAATAGATTTCAGAAGTTTCCAATCTGAATTAGTCAATGGTGTTTTCTAAGCAGGAGTTCCCTATACTGATGAACTCACAGGTCTAGATTCCACTCATATGAAACTCTTTTGCCATTTCTTATGCTGTAATAATATTCTGTTACATTTATATACTATGATTTGTTCAACCTTTCCCTAGTTGTCTAAGAGGTAATCTAAGGTACAACCCACCCACCCCACCTTAGATTCTAATTCTCTCCCTTTCTCTCTCCACTTTTTTTCATACCCTCTTCAGTATCAGGAAATTGCTTTGCTTGTGACTTCTTTTCCCAGTATTATCCTGCCTCTTAATCCCTCTTTCCCCAATTTCCATTTGTTTCTCTAAAGAGTTGGATGTATTTCTATGCCAAACTGTGCGTATGTTCAACCCTCCTATCTGTTTAAGATAAGATAATACATTTGATGCTTACACTCCCTGCCTCTTTCTTCCTCCATGTTTGTATTATTTTTATTTTATTTTTAGGCAATTGAGGTTAAGTGACTTGTCCAGGGTCGCACAGCTAGTAAGCATCTGAGGACGGATTTAAACTCAGTTCCTCCTGACATCAGGGCCGGTGCTCTATCCACTGCGCCACCTAGCTGCCCCTTCCTCCATGTTTGAATATTCTTCTCATGTACCTCAATTATGAGAAATTGCAAGTTGCACACCTTTTTCTTTCTTTATTTATTATTATGTTCCTCACTTCAAAACCTCAGAATGAAGCCCATCCATCCCTTTTGTTTTTCTCATGTAATTTGCACACGAAAGACATTAAGACACTTGTTTCTTCTTACCTTATTAGAATATTAGCACCACATCATCATAGAACTCTCTCCAATTGCTCAGATAAATTTACCTGATCCTTCTTGACCAATTTGCAGCATTTGACACTGATGATAGCCTTTACTTCCTGTATACTCCCTCCTTTCTAGGTTTTCATGATATTGCTTTCTGGTCAGTTCTCCTCCTTCCTGTCTAACTGTCAGTCATCCATACTCAAAACCTCAATGTCATCCTTAACTCCTCACTGTCATTCACCCCATCTAGCAAGTCCATTGCCAAATCTTGTCTTTTGACTTTCACATCTCTCATATACATCCCTACTTCCCACTTATACAAATACCAACCCAGTTGAGGCCATCATCTCCTCTCACCTGAATTATTACAATAATCTGCTGACTGATCCCTCTGCCTTAAGTCTCTCCTCATCCTCCACTCAGTTGCCAAGGTGATTTTTTTTCTAAAATATAGATCTGACCATGTTCTACCTCCCTTCTTAGTGAGCTCCAGAGGCTCTCTGTTACCTCCAGTATAAAATGTAAAGTCCTGTGTTTGGCATTAAAAGTTCTTTATACACAGTCACTCACTACTTTTCCAGCCTTGTCATATGTTATTCCCCTCTACATACTCTTTGAGCCAACTACACTGGCCCACTTGAAGTTCCTTGGATTCAACATTCCATCTATCATCTCTATGCATTTGCATGAGATTTCCCCCTTACCTGAAATGTTCTTCCTCATCACTTCTGCCTCTTAGTTTCCCTGGCTTCTTTCAGACTCAGCTTAAATCTCATCTTTTACAGGAAACATTCCCTGAGCATCCTTCCTCCAGCCCTAATGTCCTCCACTCTCATATTGCCTTCTGTTTCTGTTTCATACACCCTGTTTGAACCTAAGTATTTGCATTTTGGCTTCTTCATTAGAATATAAGCTTCTTGAGGGCAGGAACTTTTTTTTCCTTTCTCTGTATCTCCAGCACTTGGAATAGTGCCTGATATGTAGTAAGAATCTAGTAAATGCTTGTTGACTGTAACTGATTATAAGGGATGGCTTTCTGGGTAGGAGAGGGAGAAAGGATACATTCATAAATTACGTTGATTTAATAACAAAAGCTAATAAATAAATAAAGAGAACATATTTTCAAAACTAGATCTTAAAGATCTAAGACTAAATTTAAAACTAGGTCTTGTTTATCCCCATTATTCTAACTAGGTTTTCTTTTTATTCCTCTACTCATCACTTTCCTGTTCTCTCTTACTCTTAGGGACATTGTGAAGTGCTGGATATAATGTCACCTAATCCAATCTGCTAATTCCACTAACTGGGAAAAGAGGCCATAAGATTGAATAGAAGTGTGCTGCAGACCTCTCCATTCATTCTTTTATTATTCCCCCTCCTAAATAGATACTCCACTCACAGGCCCTTCTGCCCCATCCCCACCTTCCTCCAAACAGAAAACAATCCCCAAGCTCTGCTCCGTCCAGCCTGGAAGGCTCTTCCCTTCTCCTCTGAAGAAATACAGTTTGAAGTTCTTCATTTGATATTACAAGGCCCAGGGAATAATGTTGTTTGTTTTCATTTGTGCTGGTTTTTTTATCCTTCCTGCTACCAATATGACTTATTGCTTCCTGTGCTTTTTCAGTGTCATGGTTTATGGGATGAAGATGATACTGTTGACACTGGGACCAATAAAGATGATTCTGATGATGAACTCTCACTAAACATGGGAAGAAGAGATTCCTCTGACTCATTGAAATCTATCAATCTTGCGGCATCAGTGGAATCAGTCCACGTCCACTTCCCAGAGCAACAGGCTGCCATCAGACGAAAGAGTTCTAGCAGCAACTCACACCTGTCCCACAGATCTAGCTTCTCCTCAAACAGGTCCAAGAGAGGTATCTGTTCCACTTATTGGTAACATAAGTCATACTCCTAAAGAGTTTTCTTAAAGGTACAGTAGGGGATAATTGCAACTTCTGTTGAAATTTTACTTGGATTTGAAGACTAAAACCTTATAATAACCAAATTTTAGATTATTTCTGGAAATGAGTTTTGGATTTCTTATCAACAGTGAACAGTATGTAGTGGATAGCATAACTAGTGGACCTCAGCATAGTGATGGAAAATGAGTATATTTAGTCATTTGTACTTTCAACTGAAGAGCTTAAAATTATTTACAAGTCAACTCATTAATCCTTAGAAGAACCATTAGAAATGTGGAGTTGACTAGCCTTACTTTGTTTATAGTTTTTTTTTTACTTTGATGAGGATAGAATGGGCCTTGGAACTGGGAAGAACCCACGTCTTTCATCTTTAAAGGCAAATTGCTTAATTTCTCTTGGACATAGACAATTCTCTAACATTCTCTTACTCACAGATAAGTTGCTTATCTCCATTGGTAGATGAGGCTTTCTACAGCCCATGGTCCTCTCCACCAAAGAAATCAAATATCTAGACAAAAAAAAAGAAGTCATCAAGCATTTATTGAGTGCCCATTATGTGCTAACAGGCATGTAATAAATAATTGTTATCTTAATATGGGTACTGTGCTAAATATGGGGATAAAAAGAAAGGCAAAAAACCCAGTTCTTGCTGTCAAGGACCTCACAGTCTAATAGAGGAGACAATTTGTGTACAAGCAAGACATAGATAGCATAAATTGGAGATAATATCAGAGGGAAGGCACTACTAGCATTAAGGTTAATGAGGAAAGGTTTCTTGCAGAGAGTAGGATTTTTGCTAAGACTTGAAGGAACCCAGGAGGAAGAGATGAAGAGGAAAAGAATTCCAAACCTAGGAAACAGCCAATGAAAATAACTGAAGTTGGAAGATGTTGTGTGTGAGGAACAGCAAGGAGGCCAGTGTTTTTATCACAGAGTATGTGGAAGGAGTAAAGTTTTGGAAGATTGGAAAGGGAGGAAAAGGCCCAGTTGGGTAGACAGCAGGAAAACAGCAGCTGGCAGGGGAAGAGAGAGATTAGTGAGAGAGTGGGGAATGTAGAAGGGGCAATCTGATGGAGAAGACAGGATGGAATGGGATCACTTGTGCATTTAGAGCAGTTTGCCTTCACAAGGAGCAAAACCACTACTTCATGTGAGGCAGGCATACAATGGTGGAAGTGATAAGCGTTGAAGAGGAGAGGAAAAGAGGGAGTTCTTAGCAAACAGCTTCAATTTTTTTCCATCAAAATGAGGCAAGGTTCTCAGCTGAAAAGATGGGGAAATGGGGAACCATGGGATATTTGAGAAGGGATAAAAAAAATGGAAAAATGCTTTGGTGAGTGAGATAGTGAATCTATTAGGAAGGAATAAAAGGATTACCTTGTGGCAATAAGGGCCCTGTTGATATTATGTAACATAAAATTGTAGTAGACCAAATGAGCAAACTTTCATGATTTTTTTTCTAGCTTCATTCAGCAGCATATGAATAGGAGCAAAGGCAGCAGATGGTGGGAGTAATCCAAGACTGAGTATTAATAGGGGAAGATCAACAATAGTATAAAGGGTTAAAGGCCTTTTTAAAAAAAAAAAGTTTATTTTGATATTTTGAACAATTTGTGGGTTTTTTTTTTCATTTATAAGGATGTTCTCTCTACTAATGAGGATTGCAAACCCTCCCTTCTTATCCTGTGTGATTTTTTTTATATATTAAGAGCCCGAGGATTTAGGCTGGTAGGTGGAAGAAGGAATGTATAGAGCATTGGACTTGGAGTCAGAAAGGCATGAATTCAAATCTTGTCTCAGAGACTTACTATTTGTATAATCCTGGGCAAGTCACTTAACGTCACTCAGTCACTGTTTCCTTATGTGTAAATGGGGATGATAATAATAACATCTACCTCATAGGGCTGTTAAGATTTTAAGATCTTCCTAACATAGTGGATACCTCATTTCTTTCACAGGCACTAATGTCTCTACAGAGCCGTGGCTCTTATTCTCCCTGCATGATTGGCTCATTATTCATTTAGTTGTATAGTATGAAGATGAAATTTTGTGGGTCTCAGGTATAGTCTAGAGAAACTACAACTTCTGATTCCCATTTCAGTACTGCAAACTCTATTTTCTCTTTGTTGCTACTCATGCTATAGATTTCACTAGTACTCGAGAAACAAAATATTAACCATGCTAGCCAGTAAAGTTATATAGTCATAAACCAAATTTAGTGTGTAATTATTTTTGAAAGTAGAGGAGTCACAGATGTTGAATTACTCTATTTTGGGGTTACTCTGGAAAGAACTTCAAAGGCATCCACGTCTATATACATTGTCCTAAAACACTTTTAACTCAGTCTATATTCTTGAATAATACCATACAACCTTCATGTGACTGTGGTGTTGATGTAAACCCTCTTTCTCACACAATGTTTGTATCCCTCTTTATTTCTAGGCAGCACCAGTACTCGGAACAGTAGTCAGAAAGGCAGCAGTGTACTCAGCGTTAAGCAAAAGAGTAAAAGGGAATTGTATATGGAAAAGTTCCAAGAACACCTCATCAAAGCAAAAGCATTCACCATAAAGAAGTGAGTAACTGGAAATGTTTAGTTTATTTGTGTCTTATAGGGCCGGAAACCTACAGTCAATTACTTTATACAGATGTTATGCGGGATGAAAGAAAAACTGCTTCCGTTGCCATGGGCATAGCTCTTTCTATGGCAAAGTGTCATGTAAAAGACACACTGCCTTGCACATAGTAGGTACCTGATGGATGTTTGCTGAATTGTATTAAGCAGGCCCACACTTACTATAGTATACTTTAAAATGAAATGTTCCTTTAGGCACAGTTAATCTGCGTATTTTATTGCTATGATAATAGCTCACATTTTGGTAGCACTTAGTGATTTACAAATTGGTTTCCTCCCAAGTACCCTGTGAGGAAGATAGAACGTGTTATGATCTCCATTTTCCAGATGAAGAAGGTGAGACTCAGGGCAATTAAGGGACTTTCTCACAGTTATCTAGAATAGTTATAAGAATCAAAACCAGAAATCAAATCCAGCATTTTTTACCTCAAAACCAATGGGGTCTACACCACTCTTTGTTCTATACTTTACCCTCCCCCCACAACCCTATATTGCAGTGTAGACAATAAAACAAACAAGTAACTTTGGACTTTCAGAAATCAATATAAACTAGGCATTGAGATCTAGTAGGTACAATAATTTCTCATAGGGCTTTCCCACTATCCATGCCAGGACTTTGAGTGCATCAAGGCAAGGATGTGAGGCAAGAAGCCAAGATTGTGAAACAAGACTAGAAGTGTAGTTTAGTGACAAAGAGGCACAGTCAAGTAAAACAAATCCAGACGTTTGTCATATTCAAAAAACACGTCTCATTTTGTGCAATGAGTCTATCAGCCCTCTCCCAAGAGTTGAGCTTCATGATCTTCAGTCAGTCTATAGGCATATATTAAGTGCCTGCTATGTGCCGGGCATAGTGCTAAGTACTGGGGATACAAAAAAAGGCAAAGGACAGTCCCTGACCTCAGGGATCTCACAGTCTAATGGAGGAGACATTAAGCAAACAAATACGTACAAACAAGCTATATACAGGATAAATGGGAAATAATTAACAAAGGGAAGGTGCTAGAATTAGGATTGGGAAAGGCTTCCTGTAGAAGGAAGGATTTTAGTTGAGACTTGAAGGAAGCAGAGATTAGGAAGGAAAGAATTCCAGGCATGGGGATTTCTGTAGCCGGACAAAATGCCAAGCCAAGAGATAGAGTGTGTTGTTCAGGTACAGCAAGGAGGCCAGTGTCATTGGAATGAAGAGTATGTGGTAGGAAGTATGGCGTAAGAAAACTAGAAAGGCTGGGGGGCAGGGCTAGGTTATAAAGGGCTTTAAATACCAAACAGAGAACCTTGTACTTGATCCTAATGGGAGCTGCTAGAGTTTATCAAGTAGAGGGATGACATAGTCAAACTAGCACTTCAGGAAAATCACTTTGGTAGCTATATGGGGGATGGATTGGAGTAAGGAGAAAGTTGCCTTAATTTTCAAGTTTTTCAGAATCGTTTTTCTTTAGAATCTCATTACTACTCTATTAATTGTTTTCCTAGTTCTGACCGCTAGCCCATAGCTTTTCAGTGGGCCTTAAATCAGACCTGTCACCAGACCATTGAAACATCTCTCAAATAATTTTCTTACCCTTGTGTGACACATTGAGTTGTAACAGGCCCAGTTGCAGTACACTGGCTCCTTATGGAAATTTCTATAATTTGAGAAATTCTACCCTTCAGTATATCAGTATATTTATCAAACTTTATATTCCCTCAGCCCCGGTGGAAGTACAAACTCCTTAAAACATTTTGGGGGTGGATGATTTACCATCTGATGAATATGGCCAGAGCTAAGGCTCACCCACAATTTTCCCCAATTAGAATGTGAGCTCCTTTAAAGGCAGGGACTGTTTTTGCCTTTGTATTTATATTCCTAGCACTTAGCACAGTGCTTGGCACATAGTAAGCACTTAATAATTTTTTTCATTCATTCTTTCATTCTGACAATGGTTTAGTATCGTCTTGCATGAAAATAAAATTAGTTTTGTCAGTAAAAATTCTATTTTACCAATCTCTGGTACTTCATTCTATATGTTATCTTGCCAACGATGAGCATTTTTCCTTCATGGCAACAGTTAGCAGCTCTTTTAACTGGTATTATTGCTATTTGTTTGTTTTTCAAATAATACGAATTTATTTTCTCTCCCTCCAACCTCCATGTCCCCTCTGCAGGGTGGGGTAGGGGTGGGAGAGGAAGAACAAACTTCAAGAAGCCTGGACCACACTATCAAGGAATCAATAAAAGCACCTCTAGCTGCTCAGGTTGCTTTGAGAGTCTGTTGGGTTTTTGGTTTTGTTTTCGAGGTTTAAACAATTTTAAGGCAATTTTTTGTTAGTTCTCAACATTGCTTTTTTTTTTTAACTGCAGTTTCCTTTGTGCTTTGGTACAACTGACCCTGTTTAATTTGGGGCTTGGATGGTCCTTTAAATATTGACTTCCCCACAATGATAACTACTGCAGTATCTCTCACATTCAGTGGAGTGTGCTTTTTAAGAGCTACTCCTTTTTCATGTTTCCTTGAAGTAATATCTGTTCTATAAAACTGCAAAATCAAATCACAAGAAAAACATATCTGTATGTCAAAAAACCTGGCACTAAACTGAGAGAACTAAATGTGGAGAAATCAGTCCAATCCAGCGGGTTCATCTGCTCAAGGCTGGACCTTCTGAATCCTCCTAGTGTCAATAGAAGCACAGAAGAGTGACCGATACTGTCTCAAAATAAAGCCTCATCAATATTGTTGATAGTCACCAGTATTTTACACACCATTTTATTTGACCAGGGGCAAGACATTTAACTTCTCTTAGTTGCAGGCACCTCATCTATAAAATGAGCAGCATAATATAGAATGCCACCTATCTCACAAAGTCATTATTATGAAAGCACATTGTAAACTTTAAATTCTAAAGAAAATGGGACTTATCATTAAATGAAAATTAAATTCTTAACCTTTGTTGTTCAGTCATTTCATTCATGTCTGACTCTTTGTGACTCTATTCGGGTTTTTCTTGGCAAAGAAAAATCTGGAGTGGTTTGCCATTTCCTTCTCCAGTTCATTTTACAGATGAGGAAAGTGAAGCAAACAGGGTGAAGTGACTTGCCCAGGTTCACGCAGCTAGTAGGTGTCTGAGGTCAGATTTGAACTCAGGTCCAGAGCTCTGGCCGCTTCACCGTTTAGCTGTCCAAGCTCTCACTCTAACCTTTGGAGATGTTCAAACGTGGAATAGGCTGCCCTCAGAGGCAGAGGACTTCCTCTTATTGAAAGTCTCCAATCAAAGATTGAATGATCACTTGTTAAGCAAGTGGGGATTCCTTTGGGGCCTGAATTGGACTAAGTGGCTGTTAAGTTTCTTCTTACTCCAAAATCCTGTGACTCTATGAAGAACTGAATTAATTCCAAATATGAAAATAGCGTCAGTGCATACAGTAGATTGGGCAGCTAGGTGGAGCAATGGATCGAGTTCTGGGCCTGGAGTCAGGAAGACCTGAGTTTAAATCCAGCCTCAGACACTTACTAGCTGTGTGGCCCTGGGAAGCTCACTTAACTTGTATTTGCCTCAGTTTACTCATCTGTAAAATGATTTGGGAAAGGAAATGGCAAAGCACTTCAGATTCTTCTTTCCCAAGAAAACCCCAAATGGGGTCACGAAGAGTCAAATGCAACTAAAATGACTGAACAACAACAGCAAAGACAGTAGATCAGAGATCAGGCAGACCGACAGGAAGTAATAGATTCCAGATACTGGAAGACAGAGCAAAGTGGATGATCAGGAGAACTAGGGACCATTCAGGAACCATGAGCGCCATGGCAGCTAAAATAATAAATACATAACATATTTCGCTTGAAGTAGTGCGATGTACTTTACTCATAATTTTATTTAATCCTCACAGCAACCCTGGGACATAGGTGCTATTATTATCCCCTTTTAAGGATGAGGAAACTGTGACTAAGAAAGGTCAAGTTATTTGTCTGGGATCACACAGCTAATAAATGTCTGAGATTTTATTTAAATTCAGATCTTCCTAATTCCAACTCCAGCTCTTTATACACCTCGACTGCACCTAACTGCCTACATGTTCTTCTGCAAAGGAAACAGAAGAACCAATGTGAGATTCCAACACCAAGAAAGACCTTGATTATAGATGTTTTCTTTTGTCTTATCCGGGAAGCTTTTATACGCAGGGATCAAACCTCAAGCATGACTGTTCTGGGGTTTAGAGATGGGAGTCAATGTAAACTCCTGGTCGCAGCAGAAAAATAAAGGGCTAAAAGAGGAATAGCTGCTGACACTCATAGGATATAATGCCATGGTTCTTCCCATTACAGTATTCTTGACATCAGTGGGAATGTGTTGCTTGCTTTTCAGGACCCTCCAGATATATGTGCCCATCCGACAGTTCTTTTATAACCTCATCCACCCAGACTACAGCGCTGTGACCGATGTGTATGTGCTTATGTTTCTTGCTGACACCGTGGACTTCATCATCATTGTGTTTGGCTTTTGGGCCTTTGGGGTAGGTTTTGCTCTTATATTTGTTTGGAATATCCTTATGGAAAAGGAGTTTCCTTGTCAGGAAAATTTCATTTGGTTGTTGTTTTCATCTGTCTTGCCCAGAAACACTCAGCAGCAGCAGATATCACATCTTCACTGTCAGAGGACCAGGTCCCTGAGGCATTTTTGGTAATGGTTCTCATTCAGTTTGGAACCATGGTGGTAGACCGAGCATTGTATCTCCGGAAGACTGTATTGGGAAAGGTGATTTTCCAGGTCATTCTTGTATTTGGAATACACTTCTGGATGTTCTTCATCTTGCCAGGTGTGACTGAGAGGTAAAAAAAAAATTTTAATTCTTTCTATTCTACCTACACTGTTTGTGTTCTAAGTCAATATAGGATCTAAAGTGTCTGTGATTCTAAATTGAACTGACTGTTTCAGAATACTTCATCCATAATAATCTAGGGTCAGGGACCTCTCTGACTTCAATTCCAAGCAGCCAATCAGCCAGAATCCAGTGTCTTACAATTCTAAACCATGTGTTTGTAACCTGTTGGCATTAAAATTGATTTTCCTCCTCTTCTAGATATTGCCATCAAAATTTTAATTCATTGGTGGCTCAAAGATAAAACGTTTATTAATGCTCTTTTAAAATACATGATCAACTCTGTAGAAGTGGATCAAGATGCATTTATTCATGAGTTTCTTCATTCAGTTATTCAGAAACAATTTACTAAGCACCTATTATGTGCAAAAATTGTGCTAGTCATTCTGGGAGATGAAGCTCAGATAACACATTGCCCCTACACTTATGGAGCTAGTACAGTAATCTAGTAGAAAGGGAGTCTACTAGAGGCATCATTAAAAAGCAAGTTATTTAAACATCTATTATATGCCAGGCACTGTGCTGGATACTGGAAATACAGGTACAAAGAATGAATCAATTCCTTCTTTCAAGGAAAGGAAGAGACAACAAATAGTACACTTACATATATGTGTGTGTACATATGTGTGTACATACATATGTGTGTGTGTTATATGTATGTATATCTGTGTACATATATACACTTGTTGCCTTCCCCAATAATATTGTATGTGCAGATATAATCTAGAGACAGACAGACTGATTAACTGACTTGGTGTTCCAAAAGTCTTAATGCAGTTTTAAGCTATATTCTTCCATATATACATACATGCACACACATGCATACACACATATGCATGTATATAAATACATACCAATTCTAATATATATACATATACACCAACTACATGTGTCTATGATACATACACCAAATATGTACATATGTAACAAGCATATTTTGTTATTGTTTTATAAATACATACATGCACCAAGTATATATATATATGCACATATATATATATACATATCAAATATTATATGTGTGTACATATATACATACACACATGCAGGCAGCTAGGTGACTCAGTGAATAGAGTGTTGGGCCTTGAGTCAGGAAGACCTGAGTCCAAATCCAGCCTCATACATTCACTAGCTGTGTAACCTTGGGCATGTCATTTAACCTCTGTTTGCCTAATCAATTAGAGAAGGAAATGGCTAACTATTCCAGTATCTTTGCCAAGAAAACCTTATAAAAATTGGTCATAAAGAGTTGAGCATGACTGAACGACTGAACAACTACAACACACACCCCAACACACATCAAGTATATATGTATGGATAACCAACATATACACACCAAGTATATATGCATATATAACAAGTATGTATGTATATAGAGACCAAGTATACATATACTTATATATGCATACATACCAAGTATATATTATACATGCACCACGTATGTATATGTGTGTGAAACAATTATATTATGCATGTGTGTACACATACTCATCATTGTCTTGTCTCCTCATTTGACTTCCCCATTCAAGTAGAAAGTTTCAATCTTTGTGTGTGTGTGTGTGTGTGTGTGTGTGTGTGTGTGTGTGTGTGTAGCTAACATTCATGTAGTGCTTTAAGGTTTGCCAAGTGCTTTACAAATATTACCTCATTAATTCCTTACAACAACACTTGGAGGTAGGCACTATTATTATCCCCATCTTACAGATGAAGAAACTGAGGCAGATAGAAGTTCAATGGTTCTTCCTGACTCTAGATCTAGTCCTCTAGATACTGGAAATACAACTAGCAGCAAGAGAGAGACAGAAAGAGAGTGAGAGAGAATATAAGTATAAAATGAATAACCACAAATGCTTCCAATGTAGTTAACAGTGATTGAGCTGTATCTTAAAAGAAGAGAGGGATTCCATGAGGTAGAGGTAAAAAGGGAGTTTAATTCTAGCAGCCAGTGCAAAGATACAGTGATGGGAGATGAAGTGTAGAATATACACAGAAAGAAAGTCATTTTGGCTGAATAAGGCACAGTCACCAATAGATGACAAGTAAGTGTATTATTGAGATGCCAAGTGTTAGGTGAACTCAGAAAAGAAGGTTGTTCTTGGTGGGAGAGATCAAGAAAGCCTTCATAAAGGAAATGGCATCTGAATTGAGCTTCCAATGAATCACTGTGGAATGGAGGGCATTTCAGGCATAGGAAAAAATGGTCAAAAGCAGAGAAAAGATTAGACTACTTACTGTATATCCCTCAAAACTTTAGAGGCCATGTTTCAGTGGGCACAAAGTCCAGTTTGGCTAGAATATAAAGTATGTAGGGACATAATTATAAAAGGTTAGAAATATAGGTTTATACTGTATTGTGCCTGATCTTAAATGTTAGGTAAAGAAATTTGAATCTTCCTGAATTAAATAGTATAGATCCTTGGAAGCCAGCTAAATTTTTGAGGATAGGAGTAGCGTGAATAAATCTTGTACAACAGGAAGAAATAAATGGAAGGAAAGATCAGATTGAGGGCTATTAACTGTAATATAATACTTAGAAAAAAATTTATGATTAACTTGAATTCATAACCTGATAAAACATCTCTTATAAGAGTAAGTTCATACATTCAACAAATACGTATAATCCAGTAAGAACAAACTGCATAAAATTAATGCCTGTGATAGGAATCTTAAATGGGGGGGGGGGAAGCTCTTTTAAGTTTTCAACCAGGATTCAGGCTTCCACATTAATTAGGTTTTTCATTATCCTTCACAGCATTATAGATTATTGTAGATAGCAAACTCTATAAACTTCAGGATAAGAAGGAAAATAATTGCTGCTTGAAATATTTATTGCTAGTAGAATTAGGAAAAACAGAACCTCTCAGAGCTTAGCCTCCTCTAAGTACCATGAACGGTCTTTGCTCTCCCAATTCCACATCTTATGAACAAAGTTTAAATTTTTTTTAAAAAATGGTTCCTCCTTTCCTGGTAAATTTACTTTTATAGGACTAATATGAACAAACACACGTGCAAAAATATTACTTACCAAAAAAAAAAACTTGGAGGAGGGGAGGAAAACTCTTAAATAAAGCACATTAGTCACAGAGAAGAATGACCTAAGATCTTACCCAATCATCATTTCCTGTTTTACTTTTTTGCAAAATTTATTGCTCAGGTTTAAGATTCCACAAAATCCTACATTCATCCAAAGATTGTAAAAACAAAAGGTCTCATCGTTTTGTTTGAAACCATATTGTAACTTCATATTATTTTTTTTCCCATTCCCAGTGATTACACTAAATTCCTCACTGAGAGTTAGAGCATGCATAAACTTGGCAATAACTTTCTCTGGATCCACAGATCTGGAAAACTGCCTAAAAAGGCCTTCTTCAATACTTTAAAAGATCTGCGACTTCTTAATATTGAGCACCTAGGCCAGCAGAGTGTGTCTGCTCCTGCATTTTTCGATGTATTTTTCATTCTAGGAAATTCAGCCAGAACCTGGTTGCTCAGCTTTGGTATTTCGTGAAATGTGTTTATTTTGGCCTATCTGCCTACCAGATTCGCTGTGGCTATCCAACTCGGGTACTGGGAAACTTCCTCACCAAAAGTTACAATTATGTCAACCTCTTCTTATTTCAAGGGTAAGTGTTCTCAGTCTTAATCTCAACTTCTTCAGAGAAGGGGTTTGCAGGTAAATAGCCCTATTAGGGGATATGGGGCAGGAGCTCAGTACATAATGATTTTATGATTTTAGAGAAGGTATGGCAAATTAGGTATTTATTTTGTTTTATTTTTATACTTAGATTTATCAGTGATCTTATCAATGTGAGTACTACTTCCACTGGTACAGTTCACAAACCATCTATGCTTGTCCTGTATAATCTGTGGCCATGAAATTCTGTAAATTCTCTATAAAGGATACCTAAGTACCCAATGAAACCTATTGGAGATGTTCTTATCCATGTTGAGTTGAATATAAGCATATTATCTTAATAGAATTCCCATCTTGTTATTTGCCTTAAGGCCCAGCTTCTGAGGAGCAGAATTAGGTATACTTCAAATGAGTGCAGAAATGTGACGCAATCATCTCTTCTCTTCTTATGTAATACAATTCTTTTGGCATCCACTACCGAGGAACAGTTAAAATCCTTTCATATTAAATGTGCTGTGCCTACATATCTCTCTAGTCATAATTTAGATCCTCAGGGAGGCGTATTTCCAAATATATCATTCATTGCTATTTTTTCACTCCCCAAAGTTGCTTCTTCAAAATACTTTTTCTTTAGTTGATGTGTACTACAGAAAATCTGAAAAAGTAAGAAATCTATAAGAATGGCATGACCCAAGGCTCTTTTTAAACAGAAACTGATGATTTATCTTGAAAGATACAGGATAATGCCAATTTAATGACTAACTTAAGTCAGGGCAAGAGAAGACACCTAGTATTAAAGCTCATTAATGTCAATTAAGGATCTCCAATCCATATTATTCCCTTCTAGTACCGGGAAGGATCTGGCTCAATGATTGCCAAATGTTGTATTTTGAACAATTAGTAGTACAAGTGTTGTTTTTTTTTAAATAACACTTTGCTACAGAGCTCTAGTGATCAATATGCTATAGAATGGCACCTGTTGAATAGCTGTGTTTCTTGTTACCATCCCAAATCTGGTTCAGAAAGCATTGAATCCCTTAACCTTCAGTGAGGCCCTCTTGCAAGGTCCCCTTTTATCATCAACAGATGCTTGACTTGCTATATTCAGCTCCTGATGATGCTTCCTGAACACTGAGCAACTTAGTTTAAATACTTTTTTTGTCCATGTCTCTATTGACTACTCTGTTCTGATTCATCATGTAACAAATTCAACAAATCTGACTAGCATAAACGAATTTATCAATAAACAAGTGAATCGATATCAAAATCTTGGCTAAAGGAGAAATCTTTGGTTATTAAAATGATTTGAAGAAGGTCTACTGAGGTTCCTTCTGACTCCAAAGATATGTGAGTCTGTGGAAGGCTCATGGAAAATGATAGCCTTTGTACCAAACTTTAATAGGACCTTTAAGATAAAAGAACTGTCATTTCCTGAACTTTATACTACATGAAATCTTATTTGCTTTGGTTTAGGTTATCCCGGAAAAAGGTTTGAAATTCCAAGGAACTGCTTAAGCTCCTAAATTAAAATAAATTATGTAGGAGATTTTTAATCTCTATCTCTCTAATAAAATACGATTCTTTGTCAGGTTCCGCCTGGTTCCATTTTTGACTGAATTGAGAGCTGTGATGGACTGGGTGTGGACAGACACCACTCTGAGCCTTTCCAGCTGGATCTGCGTAGAAGATATTTATGCTCACATATTTATTCTGAAGTGCTGGAGGGAATCCGAAAAAGTAAGAAATCTATAAGAATGGCATGATCCCAAATTCTTTTTAAACAGACACTGACTGTTTATCATGAAAGATACAGAATACTGCCAATTTAATGGCTAACTTAAGTCAGAGTGAGTGGAGACAGCTAGTATTAAAGCTTGTTAATGTCCCATTGATGTCAATTAAGGATCTCCAATCCATATGAATTGGGAATTCTGGACTGATTCCATATTACCTTTGTCAGAAATAGCCTCCAGATGCGTGATTGCTTTGCCAGTTCTGTGCTGAATTTTTCAAAGGGCATAATAGATTCTTATAGGAGGGGGAAATGGTGGAACAGTCTTCAAAATGGCGCATTTGGGAGAGGGAGGGAATGCTGTGCAGGAAAATCAGAGTTTGTGTTCCCACTTTATGAGCCTCTTTTACTAATCCATACTTTGATGTGGGACAATTTTTTAACCTCCTGGATGGTTCATAGCAACTGCATATATTGGTAGAACCACAACAACTATGCATATATTGGTATAGTAAATACGTGCAGTTGCTAATTTTTTTGTGTGATGAATATATGATCACAGTAAAGTAGATACTCTAATTTCCATCAGTGCCTTCCAGTCCTGTATGACCTTTGTCCACGCCTTATCATAAATCCTCCACGATAAGTCCAGCCAATGTATTTGTTGTCTTTTAGATTACAGATCAAAAATTAATAAGCATCTTTTGCTAAATATCTAATTTTCAGTCTGATTTTATTTTTAGAAAGAAAGGTATGGAAATGGAGACTGACTGGTGTCTGCAACAATAATACCAAACAAATATATAATAAAATATAAAATGTCTCTGGGCCTCATCCTGGTGAGAAAAAGCTAAGCAGAACTGTAGCCCTGCTTCTGACCCTTATTACTATTAGTTTTGTACTCTCTGAGGACAGGAATTATTTCTGTTTTGTCTTTGCATCCCTAGGACCTGGCATAGCACCTGATACATAATGGTACTTAGTAAATGCTTACTGATTAGTTGATGGATTACACAGTTATCACAATGGTAGAAATATTAGATTTTCAATTTTATGATTTTGTAAATCCTTGTGTCAATATTCTTTTATTTATGGATAATGAATAGGGTAGAAAGAGGGATAGAAAGTGTTATGACTCAGCCCACAATCAACAACTTCTAATTTCTAAAGAAGTAATAAACAGAGGGTTCATCTGAGTCTGACAGAGTGTAGGGACTTTAAATCCCTCTTGTGTGTGTATATCTGTGCATGCACACACACACACACACACACACACACACACACACATCCTTACTCTTTTAAGGCTATATATCTGTGAATTAACCCCATTTAAAGTTGGTTACCAATCTGAATTAGGGCAATTTCTTTGAGTTCACAGAATTTTCTTACAACAAAGAAAATAATTGACCAAATCCTCCCACCACTTTCATTCCTGTGTTTACCAGAAAATGAGTGATTAAATGGTACATAGGAAGAGAAAAGAAAAATCTACACATGATACTTACATATTAAAATTAAATATAATTAATGTATTCTATGCAGTCAGCCTTAGGGCAGAAAATGGGAGGTGCTGAAAATTACCAAGTTAGAATAAAGTGCAGTTCAGGAGAGAAAAAAGGAAAACATACTAGTAACAATGAGGGTATCTTAGATTTTCCCTTTTCATATGGGAAAAGTCCCATCTCTGATATGTTCAGGGGGTTCTTTTGCTTCTAAGGGCAGTGATCAATAGGCTAGCAAGGTGCTATCTATTACTTCTGCTCCAAATTAAGCTCTTTGGAATCTTGAAGTAATTGGTTTAATAACATGAGTGGCATAGGACTGGAATGCCCTTTTTTCCTATTGTTACTGGGCCATAATAAAGGGACCCAAAAGTCTTTTAGTGATGATCCCAGGTGCTATGGAGCCTGTTACGGCTTAGGAGTGCACAACCGTGAATTCACATTTGTGGAGATTCCTTTTTCAACTGGCTTTATGTGTCGCAAAGCAAAAAATAAAAACTCCAAAAGCAATTAAAAACAATTAGGTACATAGGACAATAAAGAATTAGTACAGCCACAATATTTCCAAACCCTAAATATTTCTAACCCTCAATTTCCTGGCCAATGCCTAGACAACAGCCTTGGGCTGTTTTCTCAAGTGCAAGGAGAGAATATTTTCCAGATTGCTGCTTATAGTTGTCCCTTGGGATTTTACTTATGAATGTTATAGCAGCAATGAACTCATACTCATGGATGCTGGTATCATATTAAGGAAATGGGGCTTTATTTATTAATATAGAGAGATATGTGGATGTTCTCTAGCAAGCAATATCAATTCATTTACCTTCCCAAAGGAAGGCTGACATTTAGAAGTTAAAAAAAATTCTGAGGCCCTATGTGGCCTCAGGGCTGCAGGTTCCCCACTTCTGGCCGGACGGTCCTAGGAGTGAGGCTATAAATTTATTCTTTTGTAAGTAAGGCATATATATATACATGAACATGTATATATAATATATAAAATTATTCTATACATAATAACAGCAATATTGTTTTAAGAATGACTGGAGGAGCAGCTAGGTGGTGCAGTAGATAGAGCACCAGCCCTGAAGTCAGAAGGACCTGAGTTCAAATCTGGCCTCAGACCAAACACTTGACACTTACTAGCTGCGTGACCCTGGACAAGTTACTTAACCCCAATTACCTAAAAAAAAAAAATGACTCGAAGCAAACAAATCATTTTGACTATTATAAATACCCAAATTAATAATAAAGGACATATAAAGAAAAACACTGTCTGCATCCAGAGAAAGAAATGGGTTGAATCTTTAAGGGATATATGAACATCTACAGACAGAGATGGGAGCAATCTATTCTAGCTATGGGAAATGCCATGAACAAGGGTACGAAGATAGGAAAGCAAAGAGTGAGAGAGACTAGTCCAGTTTTGGTTTAACATAAAGTATACTAGGATGAGTAGGAAGTAAGAGATAAGACAAATGGATTGAGCATGTACATAAGGGTTATCTATGGAACAGCTAATTGTATATCACTGGGCTACTGGGTGGTATGACTAGAAAGATATGAATTCAGGCCCTTCCTCAGATGCCTACTGACTGTGTGACCATAGGCAAATCACAGACTTCTCTTAGTCTTTTTTCCCATCTGTAATAGCATCTACCTACCAGGGTTTCTGCCAGGATGAAATGGCATAGCATTTGTAAAGGGCTTTGTAAACCTTAATGCACTGTATAAATGCTGCTACTGTTTTGTTGTTGTTATTTACTCCTTCAGTCATGTCTGACTCTTCATGATCTCATGGACCATAATATCCATGAGGTTCTCTTGGCAAAGATACTGGAGTGGTTTGCCATGTCCTTCTCTAGCGGATTAAGGCAAACACGTTAAGTGACTTGCCCAGGGTCACACATGTAGTAAGTGGCTGAGGCCCAATTTGAACAATGGTCTTCCTGACTCCAATCCCAGCCATCTAGCTGGCCCTGCTGCGGCTGCTACTACTACTACTACTGCTGCTGCTATTACTACTACTACAACCACTTATCATCATCATCATCATTTTTTTCATCTCAGGCTTGTTTAGGCTGAAATGACTACGAAGTCTTTTATCTTGCTGATTGCCTCCCTGAGTCATTATCCTGTCATCTTAAAACACCAGGCTCAGGACAATGAACCTAATTCACTATACTCTTCGGCTTTATGAACAGATAGCTAAATTTAATAAAGTGCTATATTTCCATTCTTATTAAACAGCATGAACACCATTTTCATTTTGCCCCTGACTGGAAATAGAGTTGATGCTTTCAAATCCATTGTTAAAAAATAAAAAGTACTTATGTGAGAAGGAGGGGATAAGGGAGAAAATGTCCTTATTTCTGGATATTCATCTACCTGAGGTAGGGTGATCTCTCCTGAAGACCTACGCCTAGCCAGAAGAGGTCTGATGCACCAGAAAATTTTGCCCATTCTATGTCTCTATGGGTCCATTATTAGCAAACAACACCCTTTAAACAGTCTTGATCAACAGCTAGAAGTTGGGGATCTCTATTCAAAGGGCAGTCCTGATTCCAACATAATTATTTTCACAAGCTTTATACTTGTCACCACTAGTGGACCACTTACCTTGTTGATCTGTTTCTCTTACAGAGATACCCCCAGCCTCGAGGACAGAAGAAAAAGAAGGTTGTGAAGTACGGCATGGGAGGCATGATCATTGTCCTGTTGATTTGTATTGTCTGGTTTCCCCTCCTTTTCATGTCTCTGATCAAGTCTGTTGCTGGAGTCATCAACCAGCCCCTGGATGTCTCTGTCAAGATAACTCTGGGAGGTTATCAGGTAACTGTCCAGTTCAAAAGCAATAACAACTATTCCTGAACTTCTGTTTCATATTATTCCTCTGAATTATATCCTGGGATGATGGGTCCAATTCATTCTTCACCCCAGGAACTAATCCAAAGACTTTGAGATGTTTATTTCATACCTCTGTTATCTTATTTAACTTTGGCTTGTCAATATAACTGTGTCCCAATGAACATGAACATTATTTAAATGCTCACTGCATAGTTCCACTGGCAGGGCAAATTTAAATACATGCAACTGCTTCTGAAGATTCATTGTACATGCTCATTGGAATCTAGCTATACTTGATGCCAAATGAGGGGCTGGGGAGAGTAGGATAGAACTCAGACTCTAGCAGGGATGAGAGGAAAAGGGGACAGGAATAAGCATTTAGAACCAACTACGTCCTAGGCACTGTGCTAAGTGTCTTACAATTATTGTCCCACTTGATCCCCATAACAACCCTGAGAAACAGGTGTTATTATAATCCCAATTTTACAGATGAGGAAACTGAGGCAGAGAGTTAAGTAGCTTGCCCCGGGTCACACAGCCAATAAGTACCTGAGACCAGATTTGAACTCAGGGCTTCTTTATTCCAAAGAGTCATGAGACCCATGAGAGTAAAGGAATCCCTTCTAGAAATACCTGAGATGTTTATTAGAGTGGATAGTCCCAGAGATGTTAGGGCATTTGATGGCTTTTCTTTTCATGTTACCAGAATGAAGAGTTAAGTGGAAGTTAAGGTCTCATGCCCTTTTTTGTCTTGTAGCCTATTTTCACTATGAGTGCTCAACAGAGCCAGTTGAAACTTATGGAGCCAACTTTGTTCAAAGCATTTCTAAGGAATTATTCAACAAATACTGTAAGTAAATGTACATATCAATTCCCTATTAAAAATTCATCATCTAAATGACCACAAAAGGAGCTAATGATATTTGTCAATGTTATAGAAGACTTGAGGTGGAAATGCTGAGGGAACAGAGCATAAACAAAATATGGGTCCTTGATGGGCAGTCTTCTGACTTTAGAAGTAAGGCCTATGTGGTCCAAGGTTATGCTATTTAAATTACAGAACATTTATTGCTTGTGCCTACAATGTGTCAGGCACTGTTCTAGATGCCAAGAATACACCTACAAAGTTGAGACAGTTTCTGCCCATTCACATGAAATGTAATTGAGCAAAACAGTAAGAGAACAGTGCTTTTATATGGTGTAATTTGGTAACTGGTAAACACCATAAAGTCATTAGTGTCATAAAGAACTACTAGCATCAGCTGTAAGAAATCCATGGTCAGGAAAATGGTGAAACACTCTAGATAAGTATTATTTTCTGAACTGGCTGGGATTCAGATTCCAGTGACTCCACAGGAGAGATTCACAGTTGCACAGTGAAACAAGGTCAATTTTAATGACAGACAGGAATCTGGGGAAATTAACCACTCCTTCTCCAATGAGTATAGTTGGTTGGGCTTTGATTAATGACAGCCACATCAGCCATATAGCTCACTATGGCCCCAGTTTCTAGATTGTGGAGTATATGGCAGGCCTTGTCAGTCTTTAGTCAGAAAATTTAAAAGCGGCCCTTAGTTTTGCAGTTTCTTCTACGTCTTCTACGTTATAAAGATGCTACGGTTGGGACAGACCACTTTTCTAAATGAACACAAAGCCTCTTCCCCACCAAGGAGGATGCTTTTGTGCCCTTTTGAGTCTAGGTATTGATAAAAACGGGGTATTTTATTGAAACTGAAAAGTATAGCCAAATTTGTGATCTAAGGACTTTAATACTGTCTTAAGATGAAATCTTCCTTAGCTTGACCTTGTCCAAGGCAACTAGAATAAAGGGAAGGCAAGATTTAGGGATGTTGATTTCTAAGAAACTTAAACAAAAAAAAAAAACTTAACATGTGGCTACCTTATCACTAGAGAGAGATATGGAGTATAGTGGAAATAGGATCCCAGAAATAAATAGAGAATGACTACCATATTGATAATTCTGGAGTTAATCATACTGCTATACTACATGTCTTCTTAAGAAGCTATCAGAATTATATACAAAAACATTCAGAGAAGGATTGTTTTCCATACTCTTTGAGTGGTTAAATGTTCTATCTAATTGTGCTTACAGAATGCTATGCAATTTCTGGAAAATTATCAAAGAGAAGACATAACAATAGTAGAACTGGAAGGAAATTCAAATTCTTTGTGGACCATCAGCCCTCCCAGTAAGCTGAAAATGATAAAAGAACTCAAGGATTTTAATAATAGCTTCTCTCTTGTTTTTTCATGGAGTATCCAGAGGTAGTTACTATATTTCTTTACCTAATTTCCCCTTTTTTTCCCTCACGGGGAAAAGATGGAGGTGGGGTGGGATATGGGAGGAAAGGAATTATATTAACAGCTGGATCATGATCCACTGTCTCAGCAACTCTTATTCATTTTTAAGATCAAAATCCTCATTGGACAACAGAGATTTATGCAGAGCAGGGGTTCTTAGCCTAAGATCTATGAACGTGTTTTCTTTTTATATTTTGATAACCGTATTTAAATGGAATTAATTTTCTAACAATCCAATATATTTTATTTTGTGCTTAAAAACATCACTGTGAGAAAGCTTTCATAGGCTTCACCAACTGGTCAAAAGAGTCCATGATTAAAAAAAAACTTAGAAATTCTGACCTAGAGTTACAAAAACATCAGTAGCAAATTTATTAAATTTATTATCTAGACTTTCTGACTGTTCTCCTTTCCATTAGATATTTTTCCTTGAATACTTGAAAATGCCATGATATAGAAATACTAAATATGAGTTTGTGAACATGAGAAAGGGGGAAATGGAAGATGACTTACAAAATGAATAAAAAGTATATTTCCCTTTCCTTTCAAGTTTCAGGTTCAGTGTTTAAAGCATCTCTGATCCACAGAAAGGACCTTGTAGTTAGATAATGCAGTTTTAGCTCATCATTTAGCTCTCCCCATAATTGGCAGCCCTAGAAATTCTAGACCTATAATAGCCCAAGAGAAATAGGAGGGAAACAAATAGAAAATGATATTAGAAGCAACGAGGCATCTGGGTGACATGACTAAAGGAGAAAATGTTGACTTATACCTTTCCACTCCTTACCTGAGTCAATGATGAACAGTTGGGAGCTCCTTGATCGAATTCTTTTTCCTGCTTTGGCTGGTAAGAAGTGGATTGCCTAGAGAAGCCTCTGCTAAAAGCTACAGTTGTTATCTCAAAACAAACAAACAAAAAAGAAGCAATAGTTGAGAGCAAAAAATAGGAAGAGAATTATATGAACAAAACATATTTGTCATTTTTTTCTTAAATGTATAAGGGGAGGGAGAATAAAGTACATATGATAATTTCTGTAAAATTTTACTAAGGTAACCTATTAAAATATTCTGCACTGAGTTATTCTTTTATTTGTCCTATTCCCTGATCTAGTCAAACCTAGAAAGTCAAGAAATGAATTTTTCAAGAGTACATGACATGAGTATTTTGGGAATTATTTAGAGGGTGAAATCATAACACAAAAGAATGATATTGCCATTGGTACCACAGTGCATCAAGCATACAAGGTGAACACATAGAAAAACAATGGGTCACTACCCTGAAGTCCACCCTAGCTTTCGAAGGCAAGAATTTAGAATTGAGAGTTTATTTTGGACCAGCTTCAAGCATCATTCTAAGGACAGACAAAATCTATCATCTGAGAATCAGCCTAGCTAACTACAACGGAGCTCTGCTACTAGTAGGCTAGCCACGGGCAATAAATTCTTTAACCTTGACAACACCTAAGATGAAGACAATTAAAAGATGGCCCTCAGTCTTGCATAGTTCCTTCCGTGTCTGCGGAGATGAAGTAGTACAAAAGGGGGAAAAGTAATAAAATATCTATAAATATTAATTTATGAAGTTAAATCCTTGTATAGTTGCCGAGTGGACATAGTTTTAGAACATGTGAACCATTTCAACACTGATATGCTCTCGCTATTAATAAAACTAGAAGACATAAGCAAGTTGCAGCTAAATGAGTGAGTTATTCAGTTTCTCCAAGTAGATGCAAATAAAGGAGTTAGCAGATTTGGTTTCATGATATGCCTTAAAGCAACAAGACCCATGATTTCATAGAACACTTTATCACCTTTGCAATGTTCATGATAAACACATACAAAAGACTGTCTTGAGGATAATTGCAACTTGGTGCCCTTATTTGTTGCACAAAGTGAAGAATTAGAGAAATTCTGTGGATACCTTGATAAGATCTTCTGGTCTAAATGAATATACCACTTGGTAACTGTGGATTTTAGTGCAAACATCAGCTTACTGGAAGATGATAAAGAGTGTTAGAAAACAAGGTTCAGAATTAGAAAACAAAAGAGACCAAATGCTCATAAACTACTTATGCTAATATAGTTTGAATATTCCTTCAAAAATAAGATTTGAAGGTGCTGAACATGAAGAGTACCAAACAACATGATAAAAAAGGGAATTGACTACTTAATGACAGACAGGAAGTGACTGCTTACTACAATGTGAATAATTTCCATATCAGGTGTTTATTATGATCAACTAGTTACAACAAAGATAAAAATCAACATAAAATTAGAAGAAATTATAAAGATAAGAAGAAGATATGGTACATAATGACTATGGCTTCAACCTGACCTATTCAAAAAAGCTATTGATGCCAAAAATGGGAAATGTATAAAGAAAAGACATCAGTATGAACCATCATCATTGCTTCCAGAAATTTGATCACTATAAAGGAGTCACTGCAATGAGGAATCCAAAGGCACCCAGAAACTGAACACATACAAGCAGAAAGACATGGCACTTAGGGCAACATAGTTTTAGAATTTAAAGTTATCTGCAAAATATTGTACAGGAAGAGAGTTAAAGATTATAAGCATAAAATTATAGAGTGGTGGAGGGAAAATAACTATGCAGAAAGCCAAGAATGAAACTCAGTTAAACTATCCTAAGATAACTGTCAATAGAACAAAAGCTCCTTGAAAGAAGGAACTATTTCTCAGGTTTTCTTTGTGTATCTAGCACCTAACATAGGTAATAGACAAGTTTAGAAAAGGCACAGTTTTGCAGGGTAGGGGAAAGCTAATGAGTTCTCTTTTGGACATGTTGAGTTTGACTTGCCTATGGGACATCTAGTTAGGGGGAAAAAATCCAGTGAGCAGTTGGCGATTTTAGAACTGGAGCTCAAGAGAGATAAGGAATGAATTTGCTATTTCCACCCCATGTTTGCTAATCACCTACATAAAGATAGTAATTTAACCCATGGGAACTGATGTGATTACAGAGAGAGAGAGAGAGAGAGAGAGAGAGAGAGAGAGAGAGAGAGAGAGAGAGAGAGAGAGAGAGGAGAGAGGGAGAGAGATATTAAAGATTGAAAAAAGCTATTAAGAAATAGCAGTTAAGAAATCATTGGTAACCTTGCAGAGAGGAGTTTCAGTGGAATGGTGTGGTTGAACACCAGAGTACAAAGGGTTAAACAGTGCGAAGAGAAAGCATAGGAGAGAAAGGGAGAAGAAAAAGTGTAGATGAGGAGTATGCATAATGTTTTCTGAAGTTTAGCAGTGAAAAGGAGGTATAGGAATGGGATGGCTTCTTATTTTATTAATCATAGTTGCTCACCAGGTGATAATTACACAATGTATAGCAGTAGAGAGAGTGGGGCTGGGGCTATCATTCTCTACTCACCTATGCATTCTTGTTCCAACTCCCCCAATATCCTGTACACATGCAGACCTAATCTTGTCACTCATCCCTTCTCTTTCTCTTTGAAGCTTAGGCCTGGCCCTAGGTGGGGGAAGAAAGAATGGCAGAACTCTTCTATCTATATGATAGCAAGAGTCAGGGCTTACTTCATAACCAGACCCAGGTGGACCAGATGTCTTATTCAGTGGCCCCCCACATCTACATGGGGAGGGATAATCAGTAGGGTAGCTGCAACATTTTGTGGAGCTAAGATTTTATGGCAGTTTATATGGATGGCAATAGGATGACCTTTTCCACCCCATGTTATTATGGTCAAGTGCTCAGGGTACCCATGTTCCAAGGATCCTCCCAAACTGCTTCTCACTGGAGAAGAGGGAAAGAAATGTTGCTGCTCTGCTTTAAAGCTTGACACTTTCCATTCAAAGATGAGGAGTCAATCCCTGTCTCATTTCTGTGCCTCCTTCTCAATTTTGGCTTAAGTATAAAGCTTCCAGAGTAATTAAGGTTTGAGCAATGGTCAGGGACTGATTTTTCTCAGTCCCTGGTGGAGAAAAATGAGCAGCATTCACTGGAAGCTTCCTGAATGTTGATGGTCCTGCCCCTCTCTTTCACCTTTTTTTTTCTTTTTTTTTTTTTTGCAGAATGTATATGTCTCCTCTCACAGCCTTGACAACTAATTTAAAAGATTACTAAATACCTGCTGTAGATAACACACTATCACTATGTTCTTAGGAAAATCCAAAATGCCATGTCCTTGCCTTCATGAAGTGTATAATTGGTTGTTATATACCTTAAAGACATCAACATAGCGCTCGAACTCTCTGTTCTCTCTCATTATAGCTGCATGTCCAGCCTACCTCCTCTTCTAGTCAGGCATGTTCTTGATGGTGTTGACCCCTGAAATAAATAAAGGTATTTTTGTTAACCAGTTTTAAAAATCCACCCTCTAAAAACTGTTGGATGAAAAACAATTTTTAAAAATCCTATGTCTGACTATCTTTGTGCTGATTGAGCTACAGGAAAATTTAGTGAAGGAACACAACAGTAACAAAGTCTTTCAATCACTCAATATTGTTTTCCTCATCTGTAGAACCACTCTAAATGTGTTGTGATGTACTTGGATTTTTTTTTAGTTAAGTGAAAGAGAGAAAAGTGAAAAAAAAAAAAGACATTGCCAGCAAATATGGTAGAGCCCAATGCAAATTTGGTGAACTGAGTAGGATTGATAAAGATATGTTTTGGTTTTGGTTTTTTAATTGTCTACAAGGCTAGTTGATGTTTACACTTACTTTTTTTATTTGTTTTTGTGTTAACAGAAACCTCAGTCTGGGTGCAAAATCAGAAATAGCATCAGATAAGCTTTCTTTTAACCTTGAAAATGAGACCAGAATTTCTATCGCAAACATGATGTCTGACTCCAAAACTACAGCGACACCAGCGTAAGAACACTTTTTTTTGTAATGTATTTTAAAAATATATATGTGTGTATGGGTACATCTATCTATCTATCTATCGATACACACATACATATACATATATACATACATGTATGTATATATGTGTGTATGTGTATGTGTGTATGTGTATATGTATGTATGTGCATATATGTATATATACATTATATATACATATATACATACATGTATGTATATATGTGTGTATGTGTATGTGTGTATGTGTATATGTATGTATGTGCATATATGTATATATACATTATATATAGTCTTTCCAGCAAATATGGGGACTCTGAGATGTAGGGATTTGGTAAAGGCAGAAATACAGTGAAATTCATTCACAACTTCTAACCAAAGCAGACCAGATTCTCAGCTTGCTATGCTGCTGACCTTACCACACCATCTTTTCTCTCCTGCTCAGGGGAGGTGTTTTTCTCCCATCTATTGTAAATGTTTTAGAAACAGGGGTCACAATGACATATTCCTTAGAAATGCTTAGTAATAAAGAGCATCAATTGTTGTAATTCTCTTGATTCATTAATACAAAGCCTCTAAGTTTACATTAGAATACAGCCTGATTTCTGCCAGTGAAGGTGAGGTTCAAATGACCAAAAAGGACCTAAAGAGGTCCTGTAGGCCAGAGGTGAGGGAAACACTCCCAGTGCTGCCCAAACCAGATTAAAATATAATTGGGAAATATTTAACAAAATAAATAAATGTACAATGAAATCTAGATAATATTACATTTTTAAACTAAGTCAATATGTAGCCCATGGGGATCCTTATCTACAGCTTTGTGGCCCCTGTTTCTATTTCATTTTATGCTGATTTAGGCCGTACCTTACTGTCTTGTTAGTCAGGACCACATATCCTCTATCCTACATACAACCAAAGGATTAGCAGGGAATTGTATTTCTATTTGCATTTGAAATTTTAAAATTAGCTTATCTACACAACTTATTTGAATTTCTGTCTGGAATTAGTTGGCTTAGTAATATTCAGCAGCTGATGATGCAGTTAAGTTCTATAGAATCCATTGGAATATCAACCTATCAATGATGATTTCTACAGAGGGCATAGATGTGTGAACCTCTTTCATCTTCTGACTAGCCTCTTTTAGGTAGAATAAAGGCTAAACATTACCTCCTTGTTTGTACAGGACTATAAAAGGGATATATCCATATTACCTCAAAGCTCCTAGTGATGCCAATACAAAACCCATAAAGCAGCTTTTAAAAGGTAAGTATTACTTACATGAGATTTTTGTAAGTTGTGCCTATATGGTATTTGTTTTACAACTTTGGTATTTAAGTGTTTCTACCCTCTCGTTGACTATTTCCCAGTAATTTTCATTTATCTGGCACATAGCCATCATCTTTTTCCCAAGAACAGAAAGCCTTCACTGCCTAACCTTTACCAATCAGAAGGATGAATTCACCCACCCTTGAAATACTCAGCCGCATTTCCTTTCTCCTATTGACTCTCTCAGGCCAGTGATTGACTTACTCCACATATAATGGCTTAAATTATTGATTTTTATCATCTCTTTGCCAATTTCCCTTGGTATCACTTAACAGCTGGATTTTATTTTATTTTATTTCATATAATAACTATTTATACAGATCTTAGAGTGGCCATATATCCCTTACAATAGAGAATAAAATTAACTAACTTCATCACAGGGATTTTTGATGATAGAAGATCATGGTCCATTCTACCACCAGCCCCTCCCCCCCAAAAAATATCCCATCCTATGCCCAGGAATTTTTTTCATAATAATCTCTCATTTACTTGAATGAAGTTCACTTAAACCAAATCATGATCATCTCTACCACCATCAGCACAACTACCACCAAATTTGAATGTCCTCATGCATGATACTTTGCAAAGCAAGGCAAAGATCTATATGGTCCTTTATCTTCATGAACTTTTGAAAAAAAAAATAATTCCAGTCACCATGTTGCCAAACAATTCCTCATTGTCTATAGTTGTTATTTCAAACCTTTTCCATATTCCTCAGTCCCCAGACCCGCCCCTTCCTGTCTCATTCTCAGCAATAGGCCTCACCTCCTACTTGTAATAAAATTATGACCATTCTAAGTTCTCTCAAATGCATTCCTATCTTAAAATGTCACTGCAGTAACAACCTTAGTATTTCTTCACCCATTTTTTCCTTTCTGTGGCCTCCCATTCCCCATATTCTTGATCCTATTCTCTCCCACTTCTAGAACTATGTACCATCAATTAACCTCTTGCTTTTCGCACCTCCAATCTCTACCTCTCTACTGGTTCCCATTCTTCAAACATGAATAGGTAGGTAGGTCCCAACTATCCAAAAAAAAATCTTTTCACTAGAATGTAAATTCTTTGAGAACAGGAGTTTTTTCATTTTTTTTTGTTTTGTTCTTATATATACAGCACCTAGAATAGTGTCAAATATGTTTGTTGCTATTTGGTCATTTTTCATTCATGTTTAACTCTTCATGACCTTATTTGGGGTTTTCTTGGCAAAGATACTGGAGTGGTTTGCCATTTCCTTTCCAGCTCATTTTACAGATGAAGAAACTGAGACAGACAGGGTTAAGTGACTTGCCAGGGTCACACAACTAGTAAGTATCTGAGGCCAAATTTGAACAAAGAAGATATTTCTTCCTGACTTCAGACTTGGCACTCTATCCAGTATACCACCTAGCTACCCTGCCTAACACATAGAAGACACTTAATAAATGCTTGCTGATTGAATGGCTAATTTTCAATCAGGAGGCCTTATTGAGCTGCTAATCTATGTTTCACCTTCCTTTCATTATCCAATTTCTCTTTAAGAAAGAAAAATCTTTTGATTAATTGCCTTTAACTCTGTTATATTCATCACTCTTTACTTCCCTGGAGTCTGATTTCTGACGCCATTCCTCTACTGAAACTAATGTTCTAAAAGACTTCCTAGTTGTCAAATCCAGTAGCATTTTTCTTAACCTCACTGTTCTTAATCCTCTAACATTTGACATTATTGGTAATACTTTCTTAAAATTTTGTTCGTTTGTTGATTTCCACAATTTTGTACTATTCTGACTTCACTCCTTTATCTCAGACTATTTCTTTTCTGTTGCCTTAACAGAATACTCTTCTCCTTTCCCTTAAATGTGCATACTCCTTAAATATCTGTTCTTAACCTTTCAGTCCTCTCTTTTCACTCTCTTTGGTGAGAAGAGCACTAGTCTAGGTATGACAAGGGAAATGGAAGGGGAGGGAATAAATGTTTATATAAGACCTACTATGTGCTGGTCACTGTGCTGAGTGCTTTTACAAATATTACCTCATTTGATCCTGACAACAACCATGTGAGGTAGGTATTAATCTTATCCTCATTTCATAGTTGAGTAAACTGAGGCAAGCAGAATTAAGTGACTTGCGTAGGGTCACGCAGTTACTAAATGTCTAAGGCTGGATTTGAACTGGGGTCTTCCTGACTACAGTCCATCACTCTACCCACTGAATCACCAACGGCATCAACAAAGACTAGATTGGAGTCCCAGCTCTACCATTTATGAGCTGAGTAAGCCTGAGTAAGTCACTGGACTTCCTAGAGCCTCAGTTTTCTTATCTGTAAAATGATAAGACTAGATACTGTTCCAGCTTGAATAATCTATGAATAAGCAAGTCTACAAACCCCTATGTAGATTAACTTCCATGCAGACTTCTAAAACAGTATCTCCTCCTGCAACCTCTCTTCTGAGCTCCAGTTCCATGCTCCCAAGAGTACAATGAACATTTCCACCTGGAACCTTAATTTCATCAGAAGAAAAACCAAACTCATCATTTTCCTAACAATGAGAGGTATCCATACACCCAACTACATTTTTTCTGACTTCCTTATTTCTATTATTAATGATAATATCATTCTCTCAGTCACCAAAACTTAAAAACTCAGTGATGTCTTTTACTTCTTCTATCACCTCCCTTTAATCCTATCAATTCTTCCTTTGAAATATTTATTACATTGACAATATGGAGAGTACACAGAAAAAGATGATCAGAGAGTGATGAGTCAAAAGACCATACTATACAAGAATTGTTCAAATGAGTTAGGAATATTTACCCTGGAAAGGAGAAGCTTTGGGGCAATGGAAGGCACTTGATAATTGTCTTTGAGTATTTTGGAGGGTCAGAGCATGGAAGAGAGATTACACTGCTTTTACTTGGCCCCATAAAACAGAACTAGAGGAGTACTGAAAAGTCATCTTCTCTCATTTCACATGTTGAAATTTTACCTGTCCTTCAAGGTCAAACTGTTTCTCTCAATCTCTCACTGATAGCTGCCCTCTATGCCTTTTCTCATGTTATCTCCCTCTCATGTAATGGACTGATTGGTCACTCCCAAACTCCATTTCCTTTCTTTAAGGTCCAGTTTAGGTACCACACCTCCTCCATTAAAATATCTCTGACCTTCTGCCCCACAGGAAGTGATCTCTTCCTTTTCAGATTTTATATAACATTTTTCATGTATTTCCCTTTTGCATTTATCACTGTCACTTTAACTAGAGTTTTTATGATCCATTCTCAATCTTATTTGTCATAGCTATTTTTGTATCACCGACACTTGACATAGTACCTGGCACATAATAGGTACTTATTAGATGTTTTTATTGAACTGAATAGGATTATTTGAAAACTGATTGACGTATGCCAAATTTCTGAGATTCTCGTTTAAACTTAACTGTATTCTTCTTCCTTTCTAGATAATAATTTTAAAGATATCACCATCATTTTGTCCCGAGACAATAGCAGTGTAACTGAGAATGAGTGGTGGGTTCTCAACCAGCTTGGAAACAAGTTACATAACAAAGATACTCAAGGTTTGGAACTGGTGGTATTCAATGACAAAGTTAGCCCTCCCAGTCTTGGATTCCTTGCTGGCTATGGGTAAGGGATAATTTCACTCGTGGAAATCTAAAAGTCTACCTTCATGATTTTTAAATTTGGATAACAGAAATATTTTATTTTCAGAGTGATAAAATCATAGTGCTAATAGGCCTTCAGAGTCCATGAAATATAACCTCCTCATTTTATAGATCGAGAGTCTGAGGCACAGAGAGATTTTACCAGTAGTCAAACACTTATTCAGTTACATAACCAGGACTAGAACTTAAGTCTCTAACTCCTAGTCTAATAGTCTTTCTCCTAAACTACGATGTACTTAAATTTATAAAAATGTTTGTGCATTTTATCTCCCTACTTCAGGCATCTTTTAGAGTATAAAGCACTAAGCAATTATAATCAATTTTGTCCCATAATTCATTACCTGGGTGCTATCTCTACTTATGCCTACAGTACCAATATAGCCAGTATAAATTTTAAAAAATTAATATCGTAAGAGAACTTTGTTGTCAGAATAATATTCTATATGTGATATTTGATGTATATTGTATTTGTTACATGATATCAATATGCATGTATACACACATACGTACATATATATGTTCAGTCCTTTTCATTCATGACCCCATCTGGTGTTTTCTTAGCAAAAATACGAGAGTGGTTTGCCATTTTCTTCTCTGGCTCATTTTGCAGATGAGGGACCAAGGCAAACAGGGTTAAGTGATTTGCCCAGGGTCACATAGCTAGTAAGGGTCTAAAGTTGGATTTGAATTCAGAAGATGAGTCTTTCTGACTCCTGGCCTAGCAGTCAATTCTCTGGGCCACTAGCTGCCCATACATACATACATACAAATGGTTTAACTCAGATTTCACTAAATTTTGATTTGGGAATTGGAGGTACAAAACTGACAGGTTATTTAAGCAGCATGTAGCTATAGCCTCTGGTTCCCCCTATGTTAACTACAACTTTCCCGAGCTTCACACTCTTCCATTCTACTCCAGCCTTTGGCTAAACCAGATTTCATGCCATCACTATCTCTATTGATTTAAAAAGATGGCCATGTTTCCCCCTGCCTCAAATTTCTATCTTGCAATTACTACTGAAAGTATGGCTAGCTACCTACACCCAAGGCTGAGGAGCATGTGTGTATGTGTGTGTGTGTGTGTGTGTGTGTGTGTGTACCCATTTTCCATGCTATGAATAAGATCAAGTTCTTTATAGGTTTATGGGTCTGGGTAAGCTGACCTATGTTCTCTTTAAAGTCTAGAAGGTACAGTACAGTAAGGATTTTATTTTTAAAATATTTTTATTTTATCTGTTATTCTTATCATTTAATGATGTAATTATATGTCTATCTCCCATTTCACTTTTTTTGAACAATTTCCCTTTCTCTTTTCACAGTATTATGGGACTGTATGCTTCTGTTGTCCTCGTGATTGGGAAGTTTGTCCGTGAATTCTTCAGTGGGATCTCACACTCCATAATGTTTGAAGAGCTTCCAAATGTAGATAGAATTTTGAAATTGTGCACCGACATTTTCTTAGTGAGAGAGACAGGGGAACTGGAGCTAGAGGAAGACTTATATGCCAAACTGATATTCTTGTATCGCTCGCCAGAGACAATGATCAAATGGACTAGGGAAAAAGACAATTGATGCTGTGAGATGCGAAATGCAAATAAAATTGACATTTAATTTTTTTTTAAAAGCACAAAATTCTCAGAAGAACCAAGTGTTTTATAGGTGGGCATTGATGGCCTTTCCCAGACCTCTTGGAATCCATATCACCTTTCTGACTAAGGGATGATGGTGAAGATTGGTTTTGATGTTTTTAAATTCCACTTCTATCAAACCATGGGAACTTGCTTTATAATGTTGTCAGCAGTGTCTGGCATTGTGGCCAAGCAAAAGAGCCATATTTATGAATTCAGAGAGGACCAAGAGGGAAAGGAACGAAAAGAAAAGATGCCCCCTGGATGGTTTAACTGGGCCTACAATGGTGACACAGTTTGGGCATACAAAATCCAGCTTTCCATCACTAACTGTGAAGAAGCCATGATGGAAAATCAGGAGACCGCCAGCACACAAGCAGTGGGGTATAGCAACATGAGGCTGAGTCTCTTCGCCCTACCTGTTTCTGGCAAAACAGAGCTATTGACACATTGAGACCTCAAATAGAGAACAAGCCTCATTCTAAGCAAAAAGATAACCTTAGTGATAATCTCTTACTGCCTTATTTTATTTGAAAAAAAATTATATGAAGAAAATTTCCATGAAATATCAATGACTTCTCAGGAAAAACAGAAAACAAAAACAACAGTGAAACCTATTTTGCTAAGATCCTGCAAATCGTGAACACCAATGACGACGACTGTTTTATGAGGTTATTTGCTTCACAGTTACTGCTCCTCATTAGATATAGACATACAGTATAAAACAAGGCAGCCCAATTATATAAGGAGCACTTTGACTTTATAAATCTTTAATAACTGAGGTCATAAGCATTTTCCTGCCTTTTCCCCATCCTTTAACATGCTTACCCCTCACCCATTTTGATGATTTAAGGCAATGGTTTTTCCAGTATGTGACATTTTCCTTCCAGTTTTTCAGGTATACCAAAGTGTTTACATATTCCAACTCACATTTTTACATCCAAGACGGGTTTTTTTAAGTTCATAATTATGAAAGAAGTATGTATATGAGCTTGGGGAAAATAAAATGGCCTTTTTCTTAAATTATTATCATTGGTGATACAACCTCTTCATTAAAGAACAATGTAGCATGAAAATTTATGATTGAAATGTAGTTTTCATTACATGTTAACTTATGGTTTCAAAGACGAACATTGAGCAAACTGAGGTATGTGAAAAGAATATTCTGGGTAGTTTAGATTTGGGAATGACACAGAAATAAAGCCCATGTTGTACAGTCATTTTAAAGATACTCATTATTCTGCCATTTTGCATGGAATATTTGAAAGGGGTTTGGGGGAAGTGTCTAACCATGGCATATACCCAGGAATGAAGAAACCCCAATGGAGATGAAGAATCAGGTCTTTTCCTCTTCGCTGCTATGTATGAACAATGTAATGGGTTACCACTTAGCAAATATCAAGGTCCTAAATTCTAAAGAGAAAACTATTATAGTGAATATGGAGCTTTAACAGCAGAGTTCAAATAATGTTCAGCGCTTCCAAATAAATATTGCACATTTGTTATTATACTGTGAAAAGTATCACACGTTCGACCCTACACATGGCATCTTGAAATAAATTGCTTCAAACCACTGTAACAATAAAATTGAATCAGTAAATGGAACCCTCTGGAAGACATTCTGATTTCCCAACAATGTGAAGGATTCTCAATGTGTATGTTTTTGATTATGAGTCCTTTGCTGTGAAAAAAAAAATCAACCTCGGGAATTTTCAGAGGGTAGATTTCATCTAGGTTAGGAAATAATAGTAGCATCACCACCGGATATAAGTATCGCATGGGTGTATGGGTGTAGTAACTGCTTTATGGTCTTTTATGAGCTGCCTAGACCATGGACAGGGATGACTGTCAACCCAGTACCCCAGTCACTTCTGCTAACTGACCCTTCTCTGAAGTCATGTTTTGTCTGTCTAAAAGTATGATTTATTTGGTATGAGCGCCCATGCCAAGGACCTCACATTACCTTCTTTCCTTCCTAATCTTTTCTGTTGCTTTACTTAGCACTTTGCCTCAAGATTGTAACATACAATTCATCATCTTTTTTGTTGCAGCCATTTTTTTTATATTTGGCATTGATTTCACAAGATTTGGGCACATATGCCTAAATTCTTTGTCATGAAACCACACTTCTATCACATTAGATAATAACCACACTTTTGATGAACAGTTCATTTTTCCAAGTCAAGCCTTGATTGTAATGCATAGGTTTTCAATGTGGTTTAAATTAAGTGAGTTTCCAGGCCATTGCATATTTATCTACATCTCTTGAAAAAAAATTCTTAACTTTGTGACATGTGGCATGGTGCAAGATTATGTTGTAGTATTCTATCTCCATTTCAGAATTTATGCAATTCAGGAACAGTTCTGCTTCTTAGTGGGCAGGTAGGTGATGCAGTAGATAGAGCACTGGGCCTGAAGTTGGGGAGAACTGAGCTCAAATCTGGCCTCAGATATTTACTTGACCCTTAGCAAGTCACTTAACCTGTTTACCTCAGTTTACTCATCTGTAAAATGGAGATAATAATAACACTTACCTCCCAGGGTTGTTGGGAGGATCAATTAAGATAACAATTATAAAGCATTTAGTACGTTGCTTAGTACACAGTAAGTGCTTTATAAATGTCAGCAATTATTATTTTCCTAATATATTTATTTCATTAAATAGTTCTCAATTATATGTAAAATTTTTAACATTCATTTAAAAAAATTTTGAGTTCCAAATACTCTCTTTCCCTCCCTGTCTTTCCTCGTCCTTGACAAGGCAAACAATGTGATATAGATTATATATGTGAAGTCATGCAAAATATTTCCACATTAGATATGTTGTAGAAAGCACAGACAAAAGAAAAACAAGAAAAAGAAAGTGAAAAAAGAAAAAAGGTATGCTTTAATCCATATTCAGTCTCCATCATTTCTTTTTCGGGAGATGGATAGCATTTTTCATCATAAATCCTTCAGATTATTGTCTTGGATCATTTTACTGCTGAGAATAGCTAAGTCGTTCACAATTGATCATTATACAATATTGCTCTTACTGTGTACAAATGTTTTCCTAGTTCTGCTCACTTCACTTTGCATTAGTTCATATAAGTCTTCACAGATTTTTCTGAAACCATCCTGCTTGTCATTTCTTATAGCACAATAGTATTCCATCACAATCATATACCACAACTTGTTCAGCCATTCCCCAATTGATAAGAATCCCCTCAATTTCCAATTCTTTGCCACCACAAAAAGAGCTGCTAGAAGGTCTTTTTCTTTTTTTCTTTGATTTCTTTGAGATACAGACCTAGTAGTGGTATTGCTGGATCAAAGGGTATGCACACTTTTATACCCTCTTTGGACATAGTTCCAAATTGCTCTCCAGAGTGGATGGATCAGTTTACAATTCCACCAACAATGCATTAGTGTCCCGATTTTTCCATATCCCCTCCAACATTTGTCATTTTCCTTTTCTGTCATATAAGCCAATCTGATAGGCTAGGTGAGATGCTGCCTTAGTTTTTTCAACTTTCGTTTCTCTAATCAATAGTGATTTAGAGCATTTTTCATATGACTATAGACAGCTTTCATTTCTTTTTTCTGAAAATTTCCTGTTCATATCCTCTGACCATTTATCAGCTGGGAAGTGACTCAGATTCTTAGCTATTATTATTAATGACAATAATATATTTATCAGAGTTCATCATTCCTTCAAAGGAGACAAAATTTCTAGGCCAGCTGAAAACAAAAAAAAAGCCCCAAAATAGTTTTAGATCAATGTTTTTAAAGTCTAATAAAGATGCCTTGATCCTATAGGCTCACATGAAATTCTATCATTGGTTTTGGTGTGGCCTTAAATGAAAGGCAATTTTCATCAAAAACGATCTTTTCCAATAATAACTCAGTGTATTATCTTTCCAAGACAATGTTCACGTCAATGGTTTGCAGCTGTCTTCTCACTACTCTTCCAACTTTAAGGAGCCTATAACACATAATAAAGATATCAGTAATAACCCTTCCAGCTGCCAGATGTCTCTGAAGCTCATTGCTTATTTTTTGAGGATTAATTAAATTGTTTTATAGCAAGAGTTCATCAGTTCTTATTTGTTTGTTTTGACAGCATTTTCCTTTGTGTTTTGGTGTGACTGATCCTGTTTCATTTGTGGGCTTGAATGATCTTTGAAATACCCCCACAGATAGCCACTGCAATATCTCTAACAGGCATTGAAACATGATATTTAAGAACCACAACTTTCGCATGTTTCCTTGGTGTAATATTCATTCTTAGAAACCACAGATGTTAAAATACAACAAAAGAGAGCAAAGAAACCTGTACATGGGACAAAAATCTAGCAATCAACCAATAGAAATCTAGCTAAAAGTGAGGAAACCAGTTCAGTGCAGTTTCACATGGCCAAGATCAAATATTCTGAGTCTGTCCATTAGTCCAAGTCAATGTCATTAGAAGCACTATTGTTGTCACAGAATGAAACCATATCAAAATCATTGTTTGCCCTCAGCCATTTGCACATTATGGCAATTGAAATTAGAACTTGTAAATATTTGGTTATTTCCCTTCCAAATAGCACTATCTCTGTAGCATGCTGTTTGGCTAAGTGATGTGTAATTCTAGTTAGACTAGTAAAAAAAATTATCCTTAATTATTTATTCCTTTCTAGGCTTGTTCAGTCACACACAGAGGTCCAATTGGACTTAGACCTCCCCTCCCACAACCATTTTGTTTTGTTTCACAAAAAAAAAAAATGAAATTCATTCATCCTGATACTGGATATTTGGTGTCAACCTCCTATGAAACATCTTGACATTGTTTATATTGTCTATGCAATTTAATCATTCTTTTAGATTTACCTCTTGGGATATACTGAGGTTAAATGTAAATGAGCATTCTGTGGTTAGCCAACAGGGCTGTAAAACAGCTGAATCAGCACAATCACACTACGACCACCTGTCTTTCTTTTTATGTTTTTAAGCTATTTAAACTTTGTGAAGATCTTTCCTTACAGCAACCCCATGAGCCAATCACGCAAGCATTGCTATCCCTATGATATCATCAAGGAAACTGAGACTTAGGGAGATTAAATAATTTTACATAACCCGTAAGTGTGGAAGAGTCGATTCAAATCTATCCATCCTGAGTAGAAGACCAATACTTTTTCTACCACATCTTTAAAGGGCCATTAACTCCAAGAGTTTTGTTTTTGTTTTTAAATTTTAAGTGCTGCAAGACTACCATTATTTAGTGTTTCTTCTTTAAGTCATCCCCATATCATGGAAACTAAAGACAATATAATCAAAAGACATCAGGATCTCTATAAACATTGCCTTTTAACTCTTTCTCCCATAGGAATTCAGTTTCAATTCTACATGAATTCCCCTTTCAGGAATTCTAAAGAGGGGAAATACCAAAGGAATGGGGAAAATCTCATTTGTAAGTATTACCAAAATAATAATAGATAATATTTATTTAGCATTTTAAGTTTACAAAGCACTTCATTTTTTAATTAAAGTTTATTGATGTGTTTTGTTTTTATATTATAAATGATTACAGATTAACCTCACTACTTAAGAGATCTCCTCTAACAAGTAAACTAATTATTAAAACTAATAATGTAGTGATTTCATCTGAAAGTACATAAAACATTCCACATTATATTACCATCTTCTCTTCTATATTTAAAAAAAATTAACAAAATCATATATTTTCTACCTTTCACTTTTTAACTTACTGGTGAAAAAAGAGAAAAGAAAAATAAATTTATTGTAATAGATATGCATAGTCAAGCAAAACGTTCCCTCAAAGGCTGTATGTATATATGTATGTATATATGCGTGTGTGTGTATACATATATGTGTATATACATTGCGACAATATAATAAATATTATGTATACATGTAAGTGTGTGTGTGTGTGTGTGTGTGTGTGTGTGTGTGTGTGTGTGTGTGTAACATACACTCTGCACCCTAATTCCATCACCTCTACGTCATAGGTAGATTTCACCATCAATCCTCTGGAATCACAATGGTCATTGTATTATACCTTTCAAATTTTCTTATCTTTATACTATTTTTGTCATTGTATAGATTATTCTCCTGGCTCTGCTCATTTAATTCTTTTTCAGTTTACGAAAGTCCTCAAAATTATTGATTTTTATAATATTGATGTTATAGTATAATTTTTATTCTGGTTCTGCTTACTTTGCTCTGCATTAGTTCATACAAATCTTTCCATGTCTTTTTGAAATCATCTATTTCCTCATTTCTTATAGCACTTATATAGTTTCCCATCACATTAGTATACCACAACTTATTCAGCCATTCCTCAACTAATAGGCAGCCCTTTCATTTCCAGTTTTTTTGCTACCACAAAAAGCTGCTATAAATATTTATGTACATGTAAGACCTTTTTCTCTCTCTTTGATCTCTTTTAGGTATAGACAGTTTGGAATTATATATAAAATGTTATTAAACAGTGTATGCCCTTTGACCCAGAAATACCACTGCTAGGTCTATATGTGAAGCACTTTACATACATTATCTCATTTGAGCCTCAAAACAACTCTGTGGCGTAAGTACTA